GTTCAGGTTCTTACATTTCTCTAGCATTATTGTAAATTGTAAGTAAAGCAGTGTCTTGGGTTAGTGTGTATTGTGGGATTCTGGAGTTATTAACTTATAAATTAAGGGTGGTTGAGTAAGTCCATGTTAATGTCATTGTTTCTTGTAGTGTAGGGCAGTGCTTTAAGCGTTCGCTGATCACGTGGAAGATCCGGATTCGTTTCCCCACGTGGCTCCAACGTGTGAAGCCCATTTCTGGTGTCCCCCGTCGCGCTATTGCTGGAGGATTGCTAAATGCGTGAAACCTCACTCACCCACCCCTGTGCACTTTCAACCATGTTGCGCTTGACCACCTTTGAAGGCAATAGACAATATACAATTGACACATCTGATAAACGGTCAGATTGTTAAGGTTAGGAATATGTAGAAGGCTAGCTGATATATATATATATATATGTGTGTGTGTGTGTGTGTGTGTGTGTGTGTATCAGCATTTGTTTAACTTTTTATCTCTGGGATGGTGATCATGTCGCCATATTTATTATTTATTATTTCATAATTTATAACAGCTTACTAAACAATTTAATTGCATCTCACCTTTCTTTTATACTTCTCTGTGTGAGTGTTTATTGAGTGCTTGCATCGAGTTTCATGATTATGTAAATACAGGAATTATGGGATGCTAAGAATACTGACCTCCCAGTGGACTGAGGATAAGACTACTGACCTCCCAGTGGACTGATGCTAGGAATGCGGACCCCCCAGTAGACTGATGCTAAGACTACTGACCTCCCAGTGGACTGAGGATAAGAAGGTTGACCCCTCAGTGGACTGAAGCTAAAACTACTGACCTACCAGTGGACCGATGCTAAGAAGGCTGACCTCCTAGGGGACTGATACTAAGACTACTGACCTCCCAGTGGACTGATGCTGAGAAGGCTGACCTCCAAGTGGACTGCTGCTAAGATGGCTGACCTCCAAGTGGACTGATGCTAAGACTACTGACTTTACAGTGGACTGATCCTAAGACTACTGACCTCCCAGTGGACTGATGCTAAGACTACTGACCTCCCAGTGGACTGATGCTAAGAAGGCTGACCTCCAAGTGGACTGAAGCTAAGAAGGCTGACCTCCAAGTGGACTGATGCTAAGAAGGCTGATTTCCAAGTGGACTGATGCTAAGACTACTGACCTCCCAGTGGACTGATGCTAAGAATACTTAACTCCCAGTGGACTGATGCTAAGAAGGCTGGCCTCCAAGTGGACTGAAGCTAAGAAGGCTGACCTCCAAGTGGACTGATGCTAAGAAGGCTGACCTCCCAGTGGACTGATGCTAAGAAGGCTGACCTCCCAGTGGACTGATTCTAAGACTACCGACCTCCCAGTGGACTGATGCTAAGACTACTGACCTCCCAGTGGACTGAGGCTAAGACTACTGACCTCCCAGTGGACTGAGGCTAAGACTACTGACCTCCCAGTGGACTGAGGCTAAGACAACTGACCTCCCAGTGGACTGAGGCTAAGACTACTGACCTCCCAGTGAATTGATGCTAAGAGTACTGACCTCCCAGTGGACTGAAGCTAAGACTACCGACCTCCCAGTGGACTGATACTAAGACAACTGACCTCCAAATGGACTGATGCTAAGACAACTGACCTCCAAGTGGACTGAAACGAAGTGAGTGAGTGAGTTGGGTTTAACGCTGCTTTTAACAGTATTCCAGTCATATCACGGCGTGTCAGATTAATGTGGGAGGAAAGCCCAAAGTGATGCACGTCTCAGACGTTTACCACTTCGGTGCAACCCTGGAGCACGGGTATGGTGCTGACAAACCTAGAAACATAATCGGGGCGAACCGGGATTCGAACCCACAATCATAGGTTACTGGCGTGCCTAAGGGACGCAACTCTGCACAGCGAATCGCGGCGCCTTAGACGACTGGGCCACCCGTGACCCCTACTGACGCTAAGACTACTGCCCTCCCAGTGGACTGAGGCTAAGGGTACTGACCTCCCAGTGGACTGATGCTAAGAATACGGACCCCCTAGTGGAGGCCTACTGTGGCCTGCAATCAGAGAGACTACAATCAACAAGTACAAATAAAAAATACTGTTTATTCAACCAAAATCAGTACAAAACTCTGTAAAGATAACACACCTGAAGAGCACAACAATAAACAGTCTAGCCAGTAGAAGTAAAGCTATCACAAACATGGAATGTCACATCTAGGATGAAGGCGATACTGGACATGGGACTTACAAAGAGTATGTTCACACAACAGTCACCTCATCACGTCATTCCCCAACATAGACCCAGCCTCCAGGGATCTGGATCTACATTTCAGGGTGACAAATACCCTGGATTCATTGCTGACATAGCGTTATTTGTGAAAAAACTACATCTCTCTTTTTAGCAACTTTATAAGAATATCCAACTAAAACTAGGCAAATTGATTCTATTTTTGGTGTTCACATCAGCTCCTATGAAACCTAATTGGTCCAGGGTATTTTCTTTTGATCATAACAGAACTAAGCTAGAATTGTGGTCAGTTCAAGACGCCAATGACCATCCTGACAAAGACATCTTCGAATAGACTTTCCTTGACTATTCAGTGGCCATGCCAAAACACTTGAAAAAAGTGGTTATGTTAAAATCTTTCAGATCTTCTAGCACAGATGTGATGAAGAATACAGAGGTATTTAGATAAAAGTTATCTTCTTAAATGCTACACTTAATGATCAAGTTCAGATTTTTCTGCTAAAATAATGCTCTGGATGGACAAAGAAAAACATGTACCAAAAATGTCAACATGATTTTAAATAAGTGACTTTTATGTATGCTACAAGATAAAGCATAAAAACTGAAAAAGCTCATCTATTGAAACATCAGCGGAGAAAATGTGCGAGTAATTTTGTGAGGTTGTGGGAGGAAATAAGCAGATCCTGGCACCGAAAAGGGAATTGCAATGCCTTGGACTTCCTGTACTTTCATGATATTAGATATTAGTGTGTTGCCCTGATGGAATCTTCTCTCTCATCTTTCATATACATTTGTGGGTTGGGCTTGATGTTCTGTGAACAGTATTTCTGTAACATCACGGCACGTCAGCTTCATGTGGGAGGAAAGCTCGAATTGATGCAGATCCCGGAGGTTTACCTCTTTGGTGTAACCAGACCAAAGGGAGGCGATGACGGGTCTTGAAACGGATGAATCAGTTCGGGTTGAATTTTAGATTCGAAACAATGATCATAGGTTTCTGGCCACCTAAGGGACATAACTATGCACGGTGAATTGCAGTGCCTTGGACAACTCGTGCCCAACCATTGCAAAGTCCCCCATAAACTGACCTTCAGACCTCGAAGCGCCAAAAAATCATCACTGCTGACTTCTACATCAGTCTGGCATCCCACATTATAAGCGATTTACACACAACATTAAACAGTGATAGAACATTATGCATACATAGACAGTGACAGCATGCTACTACCAACTCTCACACCATAATCAGGATCCAGACATAAGTATTGATACAGTATTAATTTGCACACACATGAATACTTGTGACACATCACAATGCAATTGTGACTGTTTTTTTCCATTTGATTTCTTTCAATTGGGGTCTCAGGAAACAGAGTAAAAATAATTTATTCAAGTTAAAATTACACATCCATTTAAACTTGTTTTCCAACACATCTTAATCTGCTAAATATAAAGAATTATAAATACATCATCCAAAAGTCTCACATGGACAAAGTCTGATAATTTCATTCAGATGTTCATCCTACCTTGCCAGAATTCATTGATTTCATAAACCCAATCTCATTTAAATCAGACCTCAGTTCTCGCTACCGCTAAACAAAGATCTGAGGACATCCCATTAGGGGTCACGTCAGAACGACCTTTCATCCTACCAATCAGAGCATCGCTTACCAGATTATGAAAGTGACAGTCAGAATGTGATTTCTGATCATGCAGCCTCGAAAACTTTAACTCCGAACGATAGTTACGGGTTTAACAACTGTATCCATACAATCTAGACCATCTCTTAGCTATTCCAGAATGTTCTTTTGTTCAGGTTTCAAATTTGTAATCGAGAATTTGTCTAAATATGTTTCGAAGCGTAGTCGCCAATTTGAAATTAGTGCCGTAAAGCACGAGAAAGCTGCCTTCTGATTGGTCATTCCATTGGTCGGTCAAAGTTCGCGCAAGGTCGGTCTGACGTGACCCGTAATGGGATGTTCTCAGATCTTTGTTTAGCGGAAGCGAGAACTAAGATCTGATTTTAATGAGATTGCCATTAACCATGATCACCAACCATTTCAACTAGACTCTTTCTAGAAATTATAAGACGCTTGTCCCAGATTGATGAGATGAATTCCGAGAAACAATAAAAAAATATTCCCATCTCATTTATAAATATGGGAATGATATCTACAACATTATTTATTGTGGCCTTATCGAATACACAGTAACTTTTTTCAAGAAATGGTCAGCAAAAACACCTGCATTTCACATGACACTCCATGAACATGGACATTGTTCATTGCTGGTATTCCACATATAGTATAATACACTCTTTAATGAACATACATACAGCTGGGGACCACACCAACATTTACATATTTTCATTAGGTACAAATCCTTGTTCTCAGCATATTCTCAAACTCATGAAATAACACAAAGTAACATTAAATTGTAGGTTTACAAAAAATGGGCTTGTTCTCATTTTATCTGTATCAACTTAAAGACCAACCCTGGTTTAACTTTCCAACATCTGTAGCTAGCTGGCGTTATCAGTTTTATTAGGAGGCCCTTTGTTTACCGTATATGACATAAAAGCGCCCAGGGCGCTCTCAAAATCAGAAATAGGGGGCTCTTATTAAAATATTATTTTGGTAAAAAACTACAGAGTTGAAAGATCGTAAATTTTGTGGTTTATGCTGACAGCTTGAAATGTTTATATACAACACATATATTTTTCAAGAAATTTAATTTCCCAAAATTAAGGATGCATATAACACATGTATTATACAAGAATAAATAACTCTTGTGTACATTGATCAATCGGAAGGGGTGCTAATTGGGATTGTTCACAAGCCAATATATTAGCAAATATCGCCGTGGGCGCTTATTACGTTGAATACGTTATATGTATCAAGGGAACGGCACTCCTTAATTGACTCAACTGCTGGGCCAGTTCTGGACTTTTGCTAACATCAGGAAGTAAGTTTGATGACTCTGTGAATGTATTACAACTCAAATACAAAAAATATGAATTCTGAATGGCATATTTAAAACCCAATATAAATATACATAACATAGTCACCTATAAAAAACAAATATCCACTTCTCTAATGAAGTTCATGAAAACATGCATCCATAGAGGCTATTGTGTTCCATAATGGCTATTTTGGTAAAAGAATAGGATGCAAGAAGTCTTTAACTGTTGATTATCTCTCTTCAACCCCAGAACCACAAACCATTGCTTGATGAGTCCAGCATTCTAAGAGACAGCGTGATGACAGCTCAATAAATATTACTGATAACAGTCAGTAGAGGGGAATAACCTAACTCGGGTCGGCCTTAAGCCCTATTAATTATTTTTCATTTCCAGTATCAGCAGTCATGACAAGGGCAGATAACTCTCAACTGACAACTCATTGTTCTGTGAGAAATTAAGTATTAATTATCAGAGATACTTTGCAAGGTACATTGTTTTGTTGACAAACCCAATTACCATCTTCAAATCTGCTCAAGATTTTCTCTTAGAGCATTACAAGCTCCTTCCCAGCGTGTGACACCTTTGTTACACTCTCAGTAACATCGCTGCCACCAGTGAGGGCGCGGCCATTACAAGAATCTTGAAATTTGCCCTCTAACCCCAAATGTAGTAACATTTATACATTTGTTTATATCTTTGGGAATGCCATCATAGTTCATTTTGAAAAGGTTTAAGACTGACCATGTTTTCAAGATGAATTTACTTTTTTGTTTGTACAATCAGATTGGTTCGAGATTTCAGACTGACGGAAAATCACTCAACTTCCCTGTTACATGATAGTTGGAACAATATAGAAATTCAAATTGACAAACAAAGAAAATAATTTAGCTGGGGTAAGATCATTCGGTGTCACGGCAGTCATCACTTGTTTGTAAATATAACAGTCAGTTGGTTGTGAGTTCAACTCCAAGCATGGTTGTGGTCACCTATCACAGTGGGGAGTTTTGACTGGTGGCAGCGATAGTATAGAGAGCTCCGTGAACAGACTATCACTGTGGGGAGCTTGAGAGCATTTATGACAAGGGCTGATAACTCTCAACAGTGGCTGCACATAGAAAAGACAAGTATGACTTTTCAGTAGTTTTACTTAAACATCTTCACCCTACTCCCAACTCAAGAAAAAGACTTGCTTTCTTAAACAACAAAACTATATTAGTATGACTAACCAGTAACCTTGACATTTAATTCATATATTAGCGGACTAATCTTGTACATTCAAATTTGAAGAGACCTTGATGCTGCTATCGTCCTGTTGTATTTGAAAATTATACTCTCCAGTAGCATTTACCTCCCTTTTTATATTCTACATCTAACAACTACAAGTGTAATTCAGTGTTACTTATTCAAGCTGAAGGGTTATTGTGCAAACACAAATACACACACATAATTAATGTATATATATGCACACAAGTCAAAAATATAAAATAAAATAAAATTTCACAAACTAATTATTTGAACAGTTTTGTTTGACATTCAGTTTCTCAAGAACAAAAAGACAGTAACATAATAATAATAGTTTTATAAAATTTTGATCAAATGCTTTGAACCTTTGAGTAAACAAATGTTTCTAACAACACAATTTTTGAGCAGTCAAACAATTTCAGTCAGTTCAAAGGAATGTCAGAATGTACCTACGCTTCATCTCCATCCGTATACTCCATTCACATGATTTCTTAAATATTTTTCTTTTGTACAAATTATGTATCCACATCTGCATTATCATAAAACGGATTGGGATGAAGGTAAATCTAAGTCCATCACACATTAAACAACAATTCTGTTAACAGTAATTAATTGGGGGTTCAGTTTTGCTTTCAACATATTACAGTTATCTCATGTAGTTCAATTAATAAAAGTAAAGGGCTTTTTCTTTAAATAGTAGTGCATATCTTGAAAATTTAACAAACTTTAGACAAAAGAATTGTATGATGGATGAAATAAAATGTAATTGTTCACATAATGCCTACAAAGGGCAGCCATTAAAGTTCATCTTTGCGGTCAATCCAGGGTTTGACGGAGTCTAGGTCATCCTGCACCTCCTCCTTGTTGACGGATGGCAGAGCACTGAAAGAAGAAGTCAGGAAGTGTTACAAGCAATGTTTTATGGGGTACATGTTATTACACAGTATTCCAGTTATATGACAGCGGACTGTAAATAATCGTGTCTGGACCAGATAATCCAGCATTTGACATCATGAGCATCGATCCACGCAATTGGGATATGATGGCATGCATCAACCAAGTCAGTGAGTCTGACCACCCGATTCTGTTAGTCGCCTCTTACAACAAGCATAGACACCTTTTACAGCCAGCATGGGTGCTGAAGACCTATTCTAACCTGGATCTTCACGGGTTGGTCATTATCAGAACCTCGAAGTACTAGACACATATTTTCAAACCAATAAGTACAGTACTGCTCGTTTCTAAACTGGTCAATACTGATATGTTACTGCGTTGCCATCATTCAATGACCTTGTGTAGTACTTCAGATTTTGGTGCAAAACTAACGTAAGCATAACCGAGACAAGAGAATTCGTGTGCGTTATTATTAGCCAATGACAAAGCCGGTTTGGGAGGAAATCTGTTTAACATGTTTAAGTTGTTGGTTGGTTGGTTTGTTGTTTAACGCTGCACTCAGCAATATTCCAGCTATAATTGAGTCTGGACCAGACAATCCAGTGATTAATATCATGAGCATCGATCCACGCATTTGTAATCAATGACATGCATCAACCAAGTCAGCGAGCCTGACCACCCGATCCCGTTAGTCGCCTTTTACGACAAGCATAGTCACCTTTTACGGCAAGCATGGGTTGCTGAAGACCTATTCTAACCCGGATCTTCACGGGTAACATGTTTAAGAGGAAGGTAATGCCTGATATGGGAAACAGAAGTTTAAATTTAAGAATTTTTGTAGGGGATAACAAATATGCAAAGTATGGTAACAATTAATCATGAGAGCGTATAGTATTGTTTTCCTGCGTATCTGAAAAGGTTGTTGGTTGCAATCCATCCATATTTGACTACTTTCCATCCGTACAATACACTGATACATCATCTATCCGGCTGGGACGAGTCCGAATTTACTACCCGGGTACCCACCCCTCTATTACCTGACCCTACCCTGGTACCCTCTGTAGGTCTCAAGAGATAGGTACAAAATGTCCGGTTTGGCATTTGGTTCTTACCATAGCACTGGCAAAACACATTTAGATACATGTATTAAAGAATTTGGTCATGCATACACTGAAGTTGACTCAAGTTATATCTTTATTCAAAGATATGAAAAGTCAGAAGGAATTGGTGCACAGTCAGAAAGAAATGCGAACATTTGTGACTTGTAGTGTAACCATAGAGTTCCAGATAAGTTTTGTCATTAAACAATACATCACGTGACTAACCACGGGTCCGGGTAGTCCTGTGGGTACCCGGGTCCTACTCAGTACCCGCCCGACCCGGGTACCCGAGTTACCCGTCCCAGCCCTACTATCCGGAACAGTGAATATGCTTACATAATGTACATACATGTATCATACTGCTTTCCCCATTAGCAGATTCCTGTCATATCCCATTGATATACACAAATGATCCTATCAAAAATGTTTTGTGATATTATGTCATAATCGTCAAATATTAATATACTTCAGTATTGCTTGATTGTTTCTGCCTTCAAAATTAACTGGGGCTGTGGGTAGCCTAGTGGTTAAAGCGTTCGCTCGTCAAGCCAAAGATCCAGTTTCGATTCCCGACATGGGTACAATGGGTGAAACCCATTTCTGGCGTCCCCCGCCGTGATATTGCTAAAAGCGGCGTAAAACCATACTCACTCACTCACTCTAAATTAACTTACACCATTTTCATAGGGATTATTCATTTAACCAATGAGTTACAAAAAGGTACAACTTTATGCATAACAACTTCTGGTTTGATGTGATGTTTCGATGTAGATTGTTACACCGTTATTAATTTTTATGACGTCAGATTTCTTTCACTTTGAAATCCACTGTCACAAACCTTTTATCAATAGAAATCAAAGGTTTCACATCTGACTGCCTATGAAGATCTAATCAAGCAATAGACTATTTTAATTAGGATCCATTCAGCTAGTCATAGCTGTATAATTCCTTTAATTCTTATCCTCAATGTACATCTGGCTTAATTACCTGTGTGCTTCATTACCTGTGTGCTATGTGCTATTCTTACTGTACATTCGGCTTCATCCAATTGTATCATATTCATCTGTATGCTACTTGTTATATATCACCTCTTGTCGTCGATGTTAATCTGCTGCTTATCACAACATGTCATGTATATACCTCTCACCACTTGGTTGTCGTCAATTGATAACGGTGTAAGACTCTACATCGAAATGTCACTATATACAATAAACCAGAAGTTGTTATCAATAAAGCAGAGCTCCAGATAAGCTTTTGGTGCTGTGGGTATTTTACCAATGCATTTTAAAATCACTGGGTATCAGTAATTCTATCTGGGTATTCAAATTTCTGTTACCCACTAGTGAGTTAAAAGTTTAACGTCACATTGGCAATATTTCAGCCATATGGTGACTATCCTCTTAACATGCTTAAGTGATTTCTACACATTCAAAATGATTTCAAAAAAAAAGAGGAAATGTCTAGGGGGGTCTGGGGGCATGCCCCCCCCCCCCCCCCCCCCCCCCGAAATTTTTAATAAAACATTCTCACCAAGAAATGTAATAAGTCAATGGCAAAAGTCAATAAGTAAAATAAACAGATGGCAGATTCAGTAAAATTTCGAAGTTAAAGCAGTACTTTTAAAAAAATGAGCATAGCTTTCGCGCACCTGGCTACCCGCCAGGTCTGGGAGCAATACTGCCATAAACTTCAACCCCCATCCCCCAGACACAAGGACAACTGTCACAAGCGTGCAATGTCTGACCCTTTCCCCATGTTGAAGCATATTGAAAAAACTTACCTTGTACTTAACTTTTGATGAAAACAAAACAAAATTCCATTGCAAACATAAGACATTAATACAACATGAACAACTGTAAAACATCTCATTCACTTACAGGCTAAAAGACAACTTTATGTTAAAAACAAGCCATCAGCTGACTGAGTATTTACAATTTCTGTGTGACGCCACATCCCATGTTATAGTGCAAGTATTCGTGATAGAATACGTCTGATGTCCTAAAACCTACGCTGGTGAAAGCTCTGATCGAAAACAGGACAATCCGCGAAGGTTGTCCGGTTTTCGATCATATGTTTTCCTTTAATTTTTATTCTATTTTTACGAGGAAGATCATTTTTTCCGAGGATTACTGTTTTAAAAAACCCGATTTTCCGCGTTTCCGCGGAGATTTCACATCCTTGAACATTGTCACAGCTTGAGGTGGATAAAGAAGGTCAAGTAAACGTTGAAATAACAGGATAGGGATTTCCTGTTGACCTGCTTAACATACATGGCCTGTTCAATAGTACCACAAGTATAGGATTTGTATCGGCATATCTGGAGCTCAAAATATGTTTTTTAATATCAATATTACACATGGAAAGACACATATTCAGCTTCTCACCATGATACAAGCTGAAACCCCCTACCATGCATTGACCCGTGAAGATTCCGGGGTAGAATAGGTCTTCAGCAACCCATGCTTGCCGTAAGAGGCGACTAATGGGATCGGGTGGTCAGGCTCACTGACTTGGTTGATGTATATCATCGATCCCAATTGTGCGGATCGATGCTCATGATGTCAATCACTGGATTGTCTGGTCCAGACTCGATTATTTACAGACCGCTGTCACATAGCTGGAATATTGCTAATTGCGGCGTTAAACAACAAACAAACAATACCATGCATTTACAACCACCATAACAACTCGCAATGATCATGATGATATACTTACTTCACAATAGCAGCAGACACTGTATCTAGTACACCACCTGACAAGGGAAGATAAACACATGGTAAACAAGATAAATATTCTGAAACCTTCATTGTTTGACGAAACCATGTAAATAACACTAAAATGCATACAGTTCTAACACGTCTAAATAAACCTGTCATTAAATGTCTCAAACATGTATATTTGTTGGAATAGTGAAACCAAATAGAATAAAATATTCTTCTTTTTTTTTACTTTCAACACAAGGGCTGTAGGATACCATATTCCCTTACCTGTCAGCATTGGTCTACTAACTCACAAACCTTTTTCAACCTAAATGTTTATGGCATACCAAAGAGCATGCACTGTCAGCTACATAACAAGTATTTGTCACAGAGTGACGAAATATCCCCCGCCTGTACACCATAGTACCAAATATGAAGACAATCCAGCGATTAGTTCTTGAGATATTGTGGCAACACCGTTTTCCAACTCCAAAAACAGATTTGCCTGCTGTGACCTTGAAAATGGGGTCAAGGTCACCAAATCTGACAGGTGTATGCGGTGTCTGTATATACACTATAGTTCCAAATATGAAGACAATCCAGCGATTAGTTCTTGAGATATCGCGGCAACACCGTTTTCTAACTCCAAAAGCAGATTTGCCTGCTGTGACCTTGACAATGGGGTCAAGGTCACCAAAACCGACAGGTGTATGCGGTGTCTGTATATACACTATAGTTCCAAATATGAAGACAATCCAGTGTACAGTTCTTGAGATATCGCGGCAACACCGTTTTCCAACTCCAAAAGCAGATTTGCCTGCTGTGACCTTTAAGACAGGATCAAGGTCACCAAAACCGACTGGTGTCTGTGGAGTCTGTATATACACCATAGTTCCAAATATGAAGACAATCCAGTGTTTAGTTCTTGAGATATCGCGGCAACAAACAGGTGGGACGTACGGACGGACGTACGGACGGTCGTGAATACTATATCCCCCGCTTCGCGCTTTCGCGCGGCGGGGGATAAAAACATATTTGTAGGTTAAATATCCATTTGTAGCGACTTCGTCTCAAAATATTAAAAAACAATGAGAAAATTGTGACTGGAGTTTGTGTGAATGACATAGATCTAACTAAGTTACTTCAGAGATGACATCTTTGCACTGAACATGAAGTTGAAAGAATTAAAACCAAATAATTTTCATGTTTTTTTATTTCTTGAAAGTTGGGACTGGCAAAAATTATAGGGGACTGGTAATTTTTAGAGTTGCAAGTCCACAGGGACTGGCAGTTTCAAAAGCCAGCTGAAACACTGCATTAAACATTATATCACCATGATCACGTGACTAACCACGGGTCCTGGTAGCCCTTTAGGTACCCGGGTCCTACTCAGTACCCACCCAACCCGAGTACCCGAGTTACCCGTCCGAGGCCTAGTTTGCTCAAATCGATTTCTGTCTGAGAATGATAAAATATGCCTCTGCATCATGCCAGCCTAGCCTCTACATGTCATGACAGTGAGTATACCAATTATGAAAGCTTCAAGCTACGTAAAACAAGTCAGTATACATACCTGGCTTACAGACTGTGTCACACATGGCGGAGCACAGGTAGCAGAACTTACAGTACTGGAAACACAAAAAGGTATCTTGTATCATTTTTTGGTATCAGTAACAGTGAGTGAGTGAGTGAGTATGGTTTTACACCGCTTTTAGCAATATTCCAGCAATATCACGGCGGGGGACACCAGAAATGGGCTTCACACATTGTACCCATGTCGGGAATCGAACCCGGGTCTTCGGCGTGACGAGCGAACGCTTTAACCACTAGGCTACCCGACCGCCCCCGTATCAATAACAGAACGCACAGTACTGGAATCACAAACCCATATCTTGTATCACTTGTATTGGCAACAGAACCTACAGTACTGGAAACACAAACAAGTATCTTGTACCACTTGTATTGGCACATTGTTAAAGTACCTCCATCATGTTCAATACTTGTTGAATGAGTTTAACAATTGTTATTGTGTAATAGATCACTCAAATATTTTTTCCGTTGTATGTATATTGTATTTAGCAGGTGCAACCTGTTCAATGAATTGTTGGACATATATCAAAAAATAATTTCATCATGTTCAAATCAAAAACAATTATATTAGATCTAGTGCATATGGTGTATAGGGCAAGATTAATCATGGCTCACTCACTGAATTATTAAGTGTCACAGGTCAATTGTCCATCATCATGATTATTTGTACAACCAATCACTGGACCAAGCTGGACAATGGGAACACGACTGTGATCACTACTTGCTTCATCTATTTACTCATCATCACAGAATTGGAAACTGGGGATTTTAATGTCTATTTGAACAGAAGAAAAAGAGAAGAAACTCACTTTGCACATTTTACAGTTAGGTTTGGAAGCACTTTTTTCACATGGACAGTCTGCATCACAGAGTTTGCAAAACTGAAAAAAAGACAGAAAAATCACGATCATAAGAAATATGATAAACATTTTACCTCTATCATTATCATTATTATTTACATCGAAATCCACTTTAACATGAGCGTGATTATTCCGATTATTCAATATAGCCTGAAGTGAGCGTGATGACTCTACACATATGCAAAACCACTCTGGCTTCACAATTCTCACACGCATTCATCTTATCCATACATTCAACACAGCATAGTCTTTTGTCGTCTCGTTACAATGATAAGCCTGCATGTAAACCAACATGTGTAGAATACTATTGTATTTGCTTCCAATTTACATTCAACTAAAGCCATGGTGAAAACTTCAGAGCATGAGCATCGTACCTTGCAGTACGTGCAATATCCGCAAACAGATCCTTTCGCATAGTCCAAAGTTTCCTCGTCCACCTCTGCTTCTTTCTTATCTTCCGAAGTCTCAGCTGCCAAAGACAGCCCGATCAGGACAAAAATGCTGATTATGACGACCTGAACAAACTTCATTTTCGGGCTCGAGTTAGTGCTTCGAAGGGGAGACCAAGGGAGATAACACCCGGAAGTTTCAACCCAAAAGGGATTTTAAAACGGAAAACGGATTAATAAATGTCATTTACAGAATATAATAACAACATTCTTAAATTGCCTAAATAGCAATTAATATAAGTAAATGTTGATACAAAACATTTATATTGCTAGAAAGAGACTTCAGTGATTTATTGTGATAACATCATTTTATTAAATGCCGGAATATATTTACTAATCGATCCTACTTTTTTCATGCTTGAAACTACGTGTCGACATCCTGTTGAGTTTCATGTGGTTTCTTCTAAGTTCCATACGGTTTGTTTACATAATTACATGATAATAGACAGTCTCTAGTAATCTAACGATATCCGTTCACTACCTGTAGACTTTGAAGTACGGAATCAATCAAAAATCATCAAATATATTCGGGAATAGTGTTCACCTAAACTGTCAATATGGTTTTAGCAGATTTGGGTAGAAAGATTACATCAGCCTTGAAATCATTAAGCAATGCCACAATCATTAATGAAGAAGTTCTCAATGGAATGCTTAAAGAGATATGTGCAGCCTTACTTGAGGCTGATGTTAATATCAGACTGGTTAAAGGATTGAGAGAAAATGTGCGATCGGTAATTGATTTTGATGAGATGGCCGGTGGACTTAACAAGCGGCGTATGATCCAGTCTGCTGTTTTCAAGGAGCTGGTCAAGCTCATTGACCCCGGTGTGAAAGCCTGGCAGCCAACCAAAGCGAAAAACAATGTAATCATGTTTGTCGGACTTCAGGGTAGTGGAAAAACCACCACATGCACAAAACTTGCATACCACTACCAGAAAAAAGGCTGGAAGACCTGTCTCATATGTGCCGACACTTTCCGAGCTGGAGCCTTTGATCAGCTGAAGCAGAATGCCACCAAAGCTAGGATTCCATTCTATGGCAGCTATACTGAGATTGATCCTGTTGTTATTGCCCAAGAAGGTGTGGATAAGTTCAAGAACGAGAACTTTGAAATCATCATTGTCGATACCAGTGGTCGCCACAAACAGGAAGATTCCTTGTTTGAAGAGATGTTGCAAGTCAACCAGGCTATAGAACCTGACAATGTCATCTTCGTAATGGATGCCAGTATTGGACAAGCTTGTGAAGCACAGGCAAAAGCTTTCAAAGAAAAAGTAGATGTTGCGTCTGTCATCATCACCAAGCTGGATGGCCATGCAAAGGGTGGAGGAGCTTTGAGTGCCGTAGCGGCTACCAAGAGTCCTGTGATTTTCATCGGTACTGGTGAACATATTGATGACTTTGAGCCATTCAAAGTGCAGCCATTTGTGAGCAAACTTTTGGGTATGGGAGATATAGAAGGTTTGATTGACAAGGTTAATGAACTGAAGCTTGATGATAATGAAGAACTGATGAAAAAGCTTCGCCATGGTCAGTTCACACTGAGGGACATGTACGAACAGTTCCAGAACATCATGAAAATGGGTCCATTCAGTCAGCTGATGGGCATGATCCCAGGGTTCAGCGCCGACTTCATGACAAAAGGTAGCGAACAAGAGTCAATGGCCCGTCTCAAGAAGCTCATGACGATCATGGACAGCATGAACGACAGTGAACTGGACAGTTTGGAAGGAGAGAAACTATTCTCTCGCCAACCCTCTCGAGCTCAGCGCGTTGCTCGAGGTGCTGGGGTGTCTGTGAGGGAAGTTAATGAGCTGCTAACCCAATACAAGAAGTTCGCTCAGATGGTGAAGAAGATGGGCGGTATCAAGGGACTGTTCAAGGGGAAGGGTGGAGACATTGGGAAGAACGTCAACCCAGCTCAGATGGCTAAGTTGAACCAGCAGATGGCGAAGATGATGGATCCGAGGGTTCTGCAACAGATGGGCGGCATGCAGGGTTTACAGAGCATGATGCGGCAGTTCCAGCAGGGTGCAGCAGGCAAGATGGGCAACATGTTCAACATGGATAGATAAGATACTGGACTTATGTGCTCCGATGATGTGTAGATACCGAGCAGTGTGCTCCGATGATGTGTAGATACCGAGCAGTGTGCTCTGATGATGTGTGAATGCTGATGATGTGAGGAAGCTGAACAATGTGTGGTGATGTGAGGAAGTTGTGTTCTCTGATGATGTGAGGAAGCCATGTGCTCTGATGATGTTTGGAAGCCGTGTGCTCTATTGATGTGTGGAAATCAAGCGGTGTGCTCTGATAAATGTCTGGATGCCAGTGTTGTAACATATAAGGACTGGAATCGTGATGAATGAGTCAAGTCCACATCTTGATGCTATCTGATGGTGATGAGAGTGATAGCCTTGGCAATGATATCAACATTTATCATGTCAATGATATTTACTGATATTAAGTGTTATGATCTGTGGAAGTTTGTTTGTCTTGTAGGTTACAGTACTACACAAAGTTGATTTTGATGAAGTCAAATACAGCAAAAAAATCAGATGTAAGAATTGTAAGTCCTGTCTGAACAATTACAATTCTATTCATGTGAATAGCCAAATCTGGTTAAAATGAAGTGATTTGAAGGTCATTGCGATTTGTTAATTCAATATTTATCATGTTGATTGACTGTAATTGATTTTGTGAATAATCAGAATTTGTTGATTAGTTGTTCTGTTCCAAGTTTGGTTTTGGTATTTCATATTTCTGTTTTACTCTCAATATTTAAAGCCCGTTTTGGTGGTCCATTGGCATGATTGAGTAACATAATGTCATACAAGTCTGGGTTCAGGCCCATTCTTGTCCCTCTTTGGTCTAGTGGATTGAGCATCTGCCGGAGAGCGGAAGGTTGGTGGTTCAGTACTCTGGCCACATCATACCAAAAGACTGTTAATAATGGTACTTGTTGTTACCCTGCCTGGGAATAAAACAAGGACTAGTTCACTCTGAGTCAGTATAGTGTGTCTGAGTATGGTGTGCATATTATACTGTGGCATGGTATATATGTGGTTAACCACTATAAGACCAGCATTAGTCCGGACTAGTTCAAGCAGCCACACACACACTCATAAACGTTGATATATAAGTGCCATAACCTTGAACACGATGTTAAACCGAATCTCACCTCCTCCTCTATGTCATTGTGGCTGAAACATAGCTGTAAGAGCCGAGCAGGTGTACGGTATTCGCTCGCTGATTCTTCAAACTTCAGTACCATTTTGAAATAGTGATCCAGAAACGTTTGTTACACCTCATTATTTCAATCACTGGATTATCTGGTCCAGACTCAACTATTTCCAGTGTTCACAGGTCACTGTGATATAGCTGGAACATGCAGAGTGTGGCAATAAACAATACCCAAAAGCAAACAGAACATGAGTTTTTATTATAGATTTTATTTGTATTTATTTATGCAATGTATAGTGGTAAGATTGTAGTTATGTTTGTCAACATATTTAAGAACAGGACTGTAACCATGGTAACTATGGAAGTGACGAGCAAGTGTATTCAATGAATAAGTCATGGCATATGTATTGCTGTATACAATTTGTAAAAGCATTGTATTTTATTTTTTGTACGTTGTAATATTACATGAAATATCAGAGCATCTTTGCATATAGGATTCGGTTAATTTGGCATGATGGTTAACATAAACTACTCAAAAAAAGTTAAGGACCACCCGATTCAGTGAGTCAATAAACATGTTAACAACTCCTAAAGGTTAAGTGATGAATATATTATAGAGGCAACATTTACCCTGTAGCTTCTCAAATCTTGATAAAATTGCGGAGTCTCTCAAATGCTGGATTCTGGTTATTCTGAGGTATGGATGACTTAAAATAGGTTGACTGGTGGTTGACAGGTAACACTTGCTGTTTGTAAAACCCCTGCCACCAGCAAACCCCCCCCCCCCCCCCCCCCCCCCACTAATAGAAGAAGAATAACTTTGATCTTTCATGCTTATTGGTAATGTTTAAGGTGACACCAGTACATAGGACATGTAGGGTCCTTAGAACCACGATATTTTTGTTTACATTTGTCTGTACATATGCTTGTAAATAGCTGTTGTGCGTTTGCTTGTAAAAGATGGGTATGGTACAGGTATTATGAACGACAAAGATCAGTTTGTAATGTCTTGCAGACCAGACACAGTACAGTGCCCCATTCTACTTAGTTAGTTTAGTGCTTGGATTATTGTAAGTCTTTGTTAGAGTATGGTAGTTTCAATCATCTTAGCGCTGAGATCGCTTTGTGTAGCAGGGTCCTTGGTCCACTTGCACAAAGCGATCTTAGCGCTAAGACTATTGTAAGCCTATGCTAAAGTATGGGAGTTACGATCATCTTAGCGCTAAGATCGCTTTGTGTAACAGGGTCCTGGACTATCGCCAAATATACTCACTACCCAAAAAACGCGAATGCCATACATGTTGGTTAATATATACAGAAACACTCATATTCAAGAGATAATAGATTGGTTCGATGCTCAAACAAACATATTGGTATATTGTGTGAACCGACACTTTTGAACGCAGCACGTGACGTCATAGATCTATGACTCGAGATGCACAATTTCTCTCGTGCAGGATTAGCATGTAAAGTTTGGAAAGCATGTGAAGCATATCATGATAAGAGCAAAGACACTCTGTGGTGACACTTGACTGATTGTTACTTTTGTCATTAAGTGGTACACGTTGGAAACATCTATTCTTAACTTACATAATTCTCCATGTTTCTATGGTTTGCGTTTCTTTTGGCAGTGAGTATATGTTTCTCACCAGCACTGGAAAGACTCAGTGGTTGACATTGACAACCACTAGTTTATGTGAAGATGAATTCCTTGCCTCATCTCCATCAATACTGAGTGTTAAGATGCAGTGAACTGTAGTGTAATTCCCATGTTGATGATGTGGACAAAATGGCATGTGTGCATATTAATGACATTAAAAGTAAATCGTTGTTTAATTTCAAAGAGGTGTTGAGTATGTATTCAATGGCATAATTCAGTGTCATGTTGTGTCTGTCCATTACCTTCTAGCTAGAACAAGCATGGAACATATGCTTTGTTTGTTTGTTGTTTAATGCCGCATTCAGCAATATTTCAGCTATAGTTCGGCGGTCTGTAAATAATCGAGTCTGGACCAGAGAATCCAGTGATTGACGTCATGAGCTTTGATCCATGCAAATGAGATTTGATGACATGCATCAACCAATTCAGCGAGCCTGACCACACTATCCCGCTAGTCGCCTTTTACTTCATGCATGTGTTGCTGAAGACCTATTAATGATGACAGACCGGTTGTGACAAATTCAAGTAAAACCTTGTGAAATTAAACGTTATTGTGATTGATTTATGGTTTCAATCATCCTCAGAACAAGGTACCTCTGTACAATGGAATCTCTCAAAACAGGACATGACTAGTCCAGTTCTCTGTCAATACCAGACCAAATTTGTGGTCATGATCTTACAATGATAAATTATCAAGTAAACTTAGTCTATTAAATTTGGACTGTTTGTTTGGTTGGTTGTTTTTTAACGCCACACTTAGCAATATTCCAGCTTTCTCACGGCGATCTGTAAATAATTGAGTCTGGACCAGACAATCCAGTGATTGACATCATGAGCATCGATCTATGCAATTGGGATACGATGACATGCATCAACCAAGTCAGCGAGCCTGGCCACCCGATCCCGTTAGTCGCCTCTTATGACAAGCATAATCGCCTTTTACAGCAAGCATGGGTTGCTGAAGACCTATTCTTAAATTTGGACCGAGTGAAAAGGAATAGATTAAGAGCAAAGGCACTTCACGCTTAAGGATATTTTACATATATTTTGTCAACATTGTAGATAAATGAAGGAAACATGGGAAACTAAATTTTGCATAATTTTGAACAAAAATCATTTTTGACTTTGCATGTACATCCTGGAACAAGGGTTGCAAAAACAGACCACTGTCAAAAGGCGCTATATTTTGCAACACAAGTCCAATGAATTCTGAAACTCTTTGAAATCAAACATGCAAGTAAAGGATCCTCAAAGTAGATTGACAGTAGATGCAAATTTTGAATACTGACGCAACTTTTGAAACGTCAGCTTATTCCAAACATTAGTGGGTTAATACTTGCATGTCATCATGTTTTCTTGCTGTTCAAAAGTTTTGTAAGAGTCACATATAAACTGACACTGTACCAGAGATACCTTGATAAAAGCATGTGATAACCCTTATCCCTGAACGTGTATTAAAGTTGTCAGATCATCAGGCTTTCTTGTTTGTCATCAGTCACACTAATGCAGAGGCCATCACTTGCTACGATGTCGCTTTCACATGAGAGCAAGATCTTTCAGGTGTGAACTTCATTAAACTGGACTGCAGGTGACCCAGTGGTTTCAAGGCATGGAACCCTCTCTGCAGAGTTGATGTGGAATATATCCTGAAGCTGTGTCAGCTGCCAGGAACTGAGTTCCTCATTAACCTGGAATGCAGGTGACCCTGTGGTTTCAAGGCATGGAACCCTCTCTGCAGAGTTGATGTGGAATATATCCTGAAGCTGTGTCAGCTGCCAGGAACTGAGATCCTCATTAACCTGGAATGCAGGTGACCCAGTGGTTTCAAGGCATGGAACCCTCTCTGCAGAGTTGATGTGGAATATATCCTGAAGCTGTGTCAGCTGCCAGGAACTGAGATCCTCATTAACCTGGAATGCAGGTGGCCAGTGGTTTCAAGGCATGGAACCCTCTCTGCAGAGTTGATGTGGAATATATCCTGAAGCTGTGTCAGCTGCCAGGAACTGAGTTCCTCATTAAACTGGACTGCAGGTGACCCTGTGGTTTCAAGGCATGGAACCCTCTCTGCAGAGTTGATGTGGAATATATCCTGAAGCTGTGTCAGCTGCCAGGAACTGAGTTCCTCATTAAACTGGACTGCAGGTGACGCTGTGGTTTCAAGGCAGGTGTGGGTGGAATATATCCTGTAGCCATGTTCGCTGATTTCAAAGTATCTTACTGGTGTCGTATCATTTCTCAGAAGCAGTTATAGAAGTCCAATGTTAGATTGAAAAAACAAACCATTGACACCCTCACACTAGAAATATCAACGATATGAAATTTATGATTCAAGTAGCCATACCCTTTTGCATCCCAATAGAAGTTATGGCATGATCATAAGGGGTATACGGATTTTTCTGCATCCTGCGTTAGGTTTTATGCCACAAATCAGATGTGAGTGGTATAAAACTTAACGAGGGACGCATAAAACCCCATGTACCCCGAGTGATCCTGCCACAACGAATGTATCTTACCGACATGTTTTAATATGACATTGTAAAGGAATTAAAACAAATTCAATATTGATAGAAAACAGCTTTTTGATTGAGCTGTGGTAAACTAGTGTGTGTCACATGACAACACCGACTCGTAAAAAGTGTGCAGCTTTTTGATTCGAAGAGGGGTATAAGGGATTTATTCTCCACAGAGAAATATATTTTATCAAGATCACGTGAACCAATCAGATCTCATCGCTCAGACATGGAGGTATGATAATGTATATTATATTACTCAACATTTGCAAAGGACCACACCTTTGACTAAAGATGACTATTCTGGCCTTAACAAATGTTGAGAAGTATATTTGTGCTTTTTAAATTTGTAAGCACATGTGACAATATTTTGCAGCTGTAAGATTCTATGTAACAAGCTGTGTCCACAATCCAGTATGAAGATTCCAATCAATCAAAAGAGAACAAACAAAGTTTTTATTTCCAAATTTTTATTCCACTAGAATACATTAGCCCAGTGGATGCTGATCTGTGAGCAACATTACTACTGAGAAACTAGGAACAAACAGCTGATGAGGGGAGAGGGGGGAGCGAGAGGGTGGTACAGAAGGGGGGAGGGAACAGCTAGCTCATGTACATGCAGCACAATATGCATGTTGCAAGACAAGAAATAATAGCAATAGAAAAAACTGTAACACCATGACTTAAACCATTATAATCTATGGAATATGTCAATAATGATGTATAATTTCCCAGCAATAAAGTTGTTCGTAAAATGACATTACCAATACAGTTAACATCTAGACGTCGATAAAGGAAACAGTTAAAATAGGGGTTACCTGACCGAAATACTAAGCAATGTTGGAAGTATGTACTGCTAAAAAGAGGAAATCCATAAAATGTCAACATATCTATAGAAGAATATCAAGTCAAATTCATGTAGATTAGTAGTTCACACGTATAATATTTGATTTGTGGACTTTCTTAGAATATATACCAACTACCATCACGACCATGATTAAATTTTTTCTCTCATGAATATTCACTGTTCAACCACTCATTCACTTGCAGAACACGTACAGCCCCGATCATCGATTTTCCCCAGTCAAAACAACAAAAACACCAATTACACATACCATCATATTTAATTCATTCACAATTTCTATTTGCATCCAGCACAAGTGGTGTAGTGTCATTGTCCTCAACAGGTACTTCTCTTAAAGAGTATGGCCATTATTCCACAATGATCTTAGAAGTCTACTCTAAGATCACTCTGTTAACAGGCTCAAAGCTGCATATGAAATGGAGATCTGATGATTTTGCCAATAAGCAATACATCATTAAATCATTAAAAGTGACAAATTTATCAATGTATTACAAAATAACCTCAGTAGTTCAGACAGCTCAACAGTCTGTTCAAGTACCAATGTGTAGAAAATCGTATCCATCGTCTTACACTGAGCTCGCAGGTAAAACAAGATGGTTAAGTGGTGCCCATTTTCACCTGTCAGCCCCGAGAGCGTCTTCAAGGACGCCATGTGACCAATGGCAGGAGTTCTTACATCTTTAGACCATGTAGTTTGAATTTTGACATGACCATATTAGCATCTTCATAATTTGATTATCGGGTGTTGTGATTCATCTACTTCTCCACAGCATCATTCAAACACTTCAAGAACGCCAAGAAAAAGTTGTTACACCATGAAGTTGTGTTCGAAAACATACAAAAAATAAAAGAAATACTGGCACTACATGTCACTGTCTATGCAAATCAGGGCATCGTTTTCATCTCCACTCAAACCCTCACTGCCAGCACTCGCCACTGTGTGCATCTAGGGACATCTCGCCACTGTGTGCATCTAGGGACATCTCGCCACTGTGTGCATCTTGGGACATCTTGCCACTGTGTGCATCTTGGGACATCTTGCCACTGAGTACATCTTGGGACAACTTGCCACTGAGTGCATCTTGGGACATCTTGCCACTGAGTGCATCTTGGGACAACTTGCCACTGAGTACATCTTGGGACAACTTGCCACTGAGTACATCTTGGGACATCTTGCCACTGTGTGCATCTTGGGACATCTTGCCACTGTGTGCATCTTGGGACATCTTGCCACTGTGTGCATCTTGGGACAACTTGCCACTGAGTACATCTTGGGACAACTTGCCACTGAGTACATCTTGGGACAAATTGCCACTGAGTACATCTTGGGACAACTTGCCACTGAGTACATCTTGGGACAAATTGCCACTGAGTACATCTTGGGACAACTTGCCACTGTGTGCATCTTGGGACAAATTGCCACTGAGTACATCTTGGGACAACTTGCCACTGTGTACATCTTGGGACAACTTGCCACTGTGTACATCTTGGGACAACTTGCCACTGAGTACATCTTGGGACATCTTGCCACTGTGCACATCTGGGGACAACTTGCCACTGTGTGCATCTTGGGACATCTCGTCACTGTGTGCATCTTGGGACAGCTTGCCACTGAGTACATCTTGGGACATCTTGCCACTGTGCACATCTTGGGACAACTTGCCACTGTGTGCATCTTGGGACATCTTGCCACTGTGTGCATCTTGGGACAACTTGCCACTGTGTACATCTTGGGACATCTTGCCACTGTGTGCATCTTGGGACATCTTGCCACTGTGTGCATCTTGGGACATCTTGCCACTGTGTACATCTTGTGACAACCTGCCACTGTACACATCTTGGTACATCTTGCCACTGTGCACATCTTGGGGCAAATTGCCACTGTATACATTCATCTTTAGACAACCTGCCACTGAGCACATCTTGGGACAACCTGCCACTGTGCACATCTTGGGACAACCTGCCACTGTGCACATCTTGGTGCAACTTGCCTATGACCATATCTCAAGTGAACAGCTTGAGGTTTGGAGCGAGACTCCAAAGGGTCATTCTGTAAATTTATCATAACTTATCGTTACTTTTTTTTTTCTCACAGCACCTTAAGAAATTTTGATTTATGACCAGAAAACAAATTCCACTACTTTTACGTACAGTCACAAGACAGACAACAAAATGTGTGACATGCTCACTGCAAGTGAAACATGAAGAATGAACTGACATGAGTACCAGACAAGCACAAACAGAACAGTGTGCAATCACATACACCAACATCTTAGAAACAGACCCTTAAAATCACTAACGCAGCACTACTTAAACAAAGACCCCAAAGGAAAAGTTGGTTTGGGAAACTTATACAGACCAACTACTGTAGTTCATCTCTGATATTTCTTCAAAATAAATCAACAGGACAGTGGAGGAACAGAAGAGGAAGGCTGGCACAAATTCATATACATCCACCACAGGACAAGCCTACAGTAAGCCTAGGCATGCAGTACTGCTGCAGTCACATTAGCAGCTCAACACAGAATTAATTCAAATGTACAAAGTTTCCGCAAGCTAGTCTGGGCCGGCGAGTAGGACACTTATATTCTATTATAAAACAATAAAAATATATCAATCAAAAATACTCATTTCATTTGCATGTACCTTTTTCAAACAACCGTCATTTTGAAGCAGCTGACATCAGAAGAAAGTTCAGTTTTCCTAAATTCGTAATTTTCAGCATGATTTTCACCCACAGCATATCATGAGAACCATCAAGAACCTTTTGGAATGTCTACCTAGTAGTATCTCTACCCGGGAATGTCATTCCAAACTAACCCCCAAAACAAAAAGCTTTCACTTTGACTTATGGTTTTGAGACATTATTTTAGGGAAGCAGCCAAGTCAATGCTTTATTCACCATAAATCGCGCATGGTATAGACTTAAGCACGGGAAACATCCGATATCGTAACATATTACACCTGTTGACATAATTAAGTTTCATATTATTACAAACGACTTGTGAACTGGTTCTCATCTCACCGGGGTCATGCTGACCTGGTTGACATTCAAAATACAGATAGGACTACACTGATGCAATATACATGTACATTATATATAGTGAAAATCTAGACAGTTAAAACATCGAATTCACAGGGTAACATGGTACATACACACTATTACTGAGTCAAATTGTACAGTGAGACGAAACATTTGATATCTGCTTCACTATACACTATATTGATGCATTTACACTAAAGCTTGAACACAAACAGTTTCATGTGGAAATATACATGACCATTTGAAGTTTTTTTAAGACATTCAGGAATGGATTTTTTTTCTCATACACAAGAAATGATAAATCTCCAGATAATATTTTTAAGAGCTTCGAAACAAGATCTACGATATAACTTTTACATCCAACGAAGTCATTCTGTTATGACAAGTCTACCTGCATTTCCGAGTTCATGATAAATACATCTCTAACACAGACATAAGTTGTAGCTTTTAAGGCGATTTTAATTAATCTGTATCTCCTTTGAGAGTATTTTACGAATTGATTGAAACATGTTTTCAACACATATATTTTTCCTTGGATCTTCAGTGACTAACATGAAAAAAAACACACAAATGGGCATGATGTTTGCAAATATTGTCTTCAGAAAACTAGTTCCGATATCGACTAGTTCTGTGTGCAGTAATGACAATCAATGTATGTACACAAAAACATCATGGACTATGAGAATAGAGTCCGCACAGATGAAATCCGCTGATACGTCATTTAGTGTGCAACCAGCACAGTGAATATTGGTGGATGCAGGGAAGATGAGTAAAGCCTCTATCAACAGCGTCATGTGGTCGGCGATGTTGCGATGATGAGGATGAAGTAATGCTGCCATTACGTCCACACAAGGAGGATGTTATGACTTAAGGACGTCCATTTCAGTTGCTGAACATGATCATATAACGCAGACAGACCTGGGATGCGTCATGGACGATGTATTCATTGTATGGCATATACGGTCGAGGCTCAGACTCCACATTGGTGGCTCTGCCCAAGGGCATGTTGGTACCTGTGGAGAAGAACATTCAATTAGAATGGGCATGCTACAGGTTACAATCAATACCAAACGTGGCAATACAATCTTCACTTTGTGGTCAGATTCAAACGTCGAGATTTTGTGTACTTAAACGAAACATGAAAGATTTCTTAGTTCTGTGAATAAGGGAATGTTGTATTAAGCTGTACTAATTTTCCAGACTTCGGAAGGTGGTCTGTAAATAACAGAAGCTCAACCAGGAAAACCAGTGGTTGATACCATGAGCAGCAATCCTCATTCTAGCTCTCTTAAGACAATCATGGGTTGCTGGGGCCCTATTCTGGCCCACAATTGGCTCTTCGCACCCACGTTTGTCGTAAGAGGCGACGACTTACGGTATTGGGTGGACAGACTTGCTGACTTAGTTCATGCATGTCATCGTATCCCAATTGCGTACAGTGATGCTCATGATGTCAATCACTACTTTCTAGTGTCCAACAGCATAAAATTTATATTTTTGTGCTATTTTTAATTTGTAGAATGAAACATTTTGCATAAGGTTAATCTCTTTCAAAGATATATATAACGCCTTGTATGACAGCATTTCAGTCTACATACCAAAAGGCATGGCAACGTCATAATCTGGTGCAGGTTCTCGCTGACCACGAATCTTGATGGAGTTGACAGCTGTGTCAAGATGATCATCATCATCTTGATCTACATCCACCTTCGACGTGCCAAGGGCAACCTAAAGAGAAAAACCATTAACGGTTAGTCAATGAGGCATTAACGATAAGTCAATGAAGCATTAACGATAAGTCAATGAAGCATTCAATGAAGCATTAACGATAAGTCAATGAAGCATTAATGGTAAGCCAATGAAGTATTAATGGTAAGCCAATGAAGCATTAACGACACAAGGCTGGTCAGCAACAGTAAACACCTTACTGCTTCATATTCGTGAATTACCAATCTCCTTAATCAGATCTTTTACTCAGATACCACATCTGTCTGCGTCAAGATCCACATAAGGTGAATCCTTAGCAAACTTAGACCACCCAATGAAAGAAAGATGTGTGGGTTCTTAAGTCAGTTAGATCACAGCTTCATTTCCTTACCACAAATTCAGGAAATTTCAATGTCTGTCATAGAAAACCGACACAAAACACAAATATACCCTTCACAGTAAATTTTTGTGTAGATGCCATGGCGCTAATGTTTGTTTGTTGTTTAATGCTGCACTCAGCAATATTCCAGCTTCATGACAGCGATCTGTAAATAATCGAGTCTGGACCAGACAATCCAGTGATTGATATCATGAGCACCAATCCATACAATTGGGATATGATGACATGTATCAACCAAGTCAGCGAGCCTGACCACCTGATCCTGTTAGTCGCCTCTTACGACAAGCTTAGTTGCCTCTTACGACAAGTTTAGTTGCCTCTTACAACCAGCATGGGTTGCTGAAGATCTATTCTAACCCGGGTCCATGATGCTAATACAAATAGCAGGATGTACAAAACATCCATAACAATATAACAGTGAAGCATTGTATTACCCTTTCAGATTTCCTTCATATACGTTAAAAGATACAGAAGTCAGATACGCTTGTCAGAATTCGCTCACTCGTACCAAGAATTTAGATGCCTCAACACTGATTGGCTGATTAGAAAATCCCCTAATGCGACCTTCTAGGGACGTTCTCTCAGATCTTAATGCAGAGATGTACCCCCTACTAGAAAGATGCAAAAGTCTCACCTGACAAAGCAGCATCAGATTGACATCTGATTCAGGGTTGTAATTGTAGCTGTAGCCGTGACTCTTGGCAAATGCATCAGCAAAATAAATTCCCTGAAAATCGAAGTATAAAATGAAGACAAAACCTCTAAGCCAACAGATGTCCTATTCAACTCCAACACAAGCGTTTGCCACTAATGTGGCTATATCCCCCGCCCCTGTTGCAGAATTTATGACATAATTAAATCTAAACAAACCCTAACCTTTTTAAACCGAGGTGGAACTTGTCCTGGAAATTGTAAAAAAAATAAGTGTTTGGAACCTAAGTCCATCTTGTTGCCATGGAAACGTAAAAAATAAAAATTTCTAACATTTCTAAATAGCAAAAGGCACCAGTTCAGCATGTACTTGACAGACCTGCAAAGTTTCATGAAAAAATATTGAACAGTTTCTGAGTTATGCTCCGGAAACGAAACGTGACAGATTCTATATCCCCCGCCAACTTTGTTGGGTGGGGGATGATAAACAGGTGAAGCTGCCACAGTCAACACAATACTCCAACATAAGGTTCAGTTATTATATCATTGAACACCTCAGGGATATTCATCACATGGTTATATGCGCTTTTGAGCAAAGGAGTGAGCGAGTATGGTTTTACGCCGCTTTTAGTAATATTCCAGCAACATCACGGCAAAGGACACCAGAAATGGGTCTCACACATTGTACCCATGTGGGGAATCGAACTCGGGCCATAGGTGTGATGAGTGAATGCTTTAAGGACAAGGCTACACTGCTGTCCCCTTTTAGCAAAGAAAGCTCCAAGCTATTGAGAGCGTTTCTCACCTCTCCGAACAGATGCCCTGTGTGAGGGGCCTCGGGCGGGGCTATAAGTAGACCCCTGTTGAGGATGCTGATGAAGTTGCTCATGCTGCTGCCGTGCCACAGAAGGCTGTGGTTGCTCATGTTGAGGGCACGGAGCTGTTCCTCCTCGCCCGGCCGAGACAATTTGTAGATACTGTGTACCTTACTGCTTTGATCTGAAAGACACAAGTTACATCATCATCATCATCATCTAGGAGGCAATCAAAGTGTATAAAAATGGGCAAATGTATATTCGGGTACGTGAGGATGTTGAGTGACTGCTAATATGAGGGGACACGTGAAGATTCGAGTTAGAATAGGTCTTCAGCAACCCATGCTTGCAGTTTAAGAAGACTATGTTTGTCGTAATAGGTTACTAAGGGGATCGGTGGGTCAAACTAGTTGACTTACTTGATGCATGTCAACATATACCAATTGCTTAGATGGTGAGGTGAGGAGAAATGGGGTTTAACCTTGCGTCCAAGATTATTGCACTTATATAGCGACGTGCATGCAAGTGTGTGCGTGGCTGCTTGAACTAGTCTGGACGAATGCCTATTTTATAGTGCTAGCCCACTGAGATATCATGCCAAAGTTTAATATGAATACCCCACTCTGACACAATATACTGACTCATCATTTTAAGATTACGTGAAGATTACAGAGACTACTTACGTGATGCGTTGACGTATGTGAGGATGTACTGTGACTCAAGACTATCAGGAGACAATGGTTCTATCTGGCATCCCACAGAACGGTAGATGTAGTCCAGTGGATTCATATCTGCAGAAGAAAGTTTTCAGGGTTCAAGTACAACTATCATCAAACACACATACACCCAACTGTTTCATACGACTATATAGTTACTCTGTCATGTTATGACAGATTAACTACAGTCACTTGGAAAACATGGGCTTCTTTAACTTATTAACGACATAGTCATTTGAAAACAATCAGGTGTTCTTTAACTTCTTTTGAGTAGTCCACATGTCTAAACTGAGTGAGAGAGAGAGTATGGTTTTACGCCGCTTTTAGCAATATTCCAGCAATATCACGGCGGGGGACACCAGAAATGGGCTTCACACATTGTACCCATGTCGGGAATCGAACCCGGGTCTTCGGCGTGACGAGCGAACGCTTTAACCACTAGGCTACCCGACCGGCCCTCATGTCTAAACTGAAGTCTATATAATATCCATAAACCCCCCGGACATGGAGTACATGGGACATCTCTGCCCTGAAACAACAGGTGTAGTAGATTTTATAGTCTGTAACAAGAGCCCTTACCCTTCAAATGTTGTTGAGATCCAAGAACAATCCTGCTGGCGATTTCAATGTCCAACATGTCCGAGAGGAAACGAAGACACACCTTCAACCTTTTCTTCTTATTAATTGGTTTGATGGCCTCATACTCAAACCCTGGAGATGGGACAAGATTGTAGTAGTCGTTTGTCAAAGATGCTATCTGTAAGAAAGGGAGTAAGTTGAGTTAGACACTGTTGTGAACAGTTTTCTCTTTCATCACAGCATGTTAACCTTGATAGGTAGGCCATACACACCGTGCATGGATCCTGACAAGCGCAGGCTGACAATCAGAGCAGCTGTGCCAATGAGAGACAGGTACTAATAAGTCAATACATAGTCCAATCAAAATCGTGTAATGAAACCAACCTACACTTCGTAAAGTGCCGTGCAGATTTTGATCTATTGCAGGACTTGCAAAACATGTGTACCGCAAACTCGGCGTCAACAGATCTTTTCCAAATCTTTTCATCTTTTTAATCAAGGTGCTCACGTGATTTGATGGACTTAGCAAAGTAATACCCGTTTTATCATAATATAGATCGCTGCAGTTTGTTTGAATCAAATGCAAGTGACATTAGAGATTGAAACTGAATAGTCAACAGGAGGGATAAGAAGGGACAGAACTTAGAATAGCCTTTTGAGGCACTTCGTATCAAGCCCAGAAATTCTAGCCTAGTTCAGCAAGGGTGGAAACTGGACTTTCCTAGGCAGTTAAATCCCTTGCCTTGGGAACATGCGAAATAGGTTTCAGGGGACATATTCTAACCTGGCATCCTGCCAGGAGCTGCTACACAAATATAACTACAACAACAGAAACTACGTCTGGTCCTGACGTCAGGCAAAAAGGTCAGGCAAAAAGATCATTCGTATAGTTTCTGTTTCACCATGCAACATATTTCTCCATATTCATGCAGCTTGGATGAAGTCCCTCACCTTGTCACAGTTGTCCTGAAAGGCAGCCATGTCGTTGGTCGCTGTATTCCTCCTCTGCTTCTCTATCGTCTGTATCAACTCACTGCAACAACAAGTCAGTTGAAATAGTTATTGAAGTATCAGGTAGGATTTGTTTGCTGTTTAACGCCAGGTCTGGACCAAGAAACCAGTGATTGATAGTATGATTTGTTTAGTTTGTTGTTTAATGCCTCACTTTGCTATATTCCAGCAATTTGTCTGAACCCGACAGTCCCGTGATTGATATCATATGCATCGATACGATGAGATGCATCAACCAAGTCAGCAAGCTTGAGAACCTGATCCGTGTGTGTGTGTGTGTGTGTGTGCGTGCGTGCGTGCGTGCGTGCGTGCGTGCGTGCGTGCGTGCGTGCGTGCGTGCGTGCGTGCGTGCGTGCGTGCGTGCGTGCGTGCGTGCGTGCGTGCGTGCGTGCGTGCGTGCGTGCGTGCGTGCGTGCGTGCGTGCGTGCGTGCGTGCGTGCGTGCGTGCGTGCGTGCGTGCGTGCGTGCGTGCGTGCGCGCGCGCGCGCGCGCGTGCATGGCTTCTTGTACTAGTCCAGACTAATGACAATTTAATAGTGCTAGCCCACCGAGACACCATGCTTCATATTTAACATGAATACCCCACTCAGGCACAGTGTACTGACTCCGGGCCAAGCAGTCTGTTTAAGCACCTTAATGCCGATCACCAGGCAGGGTAACAACAACTACCATCTTTTAACGTCTTTCGGTATGCCGTGGCCAGGAATCGAACCCCTGACCTTCCGTTACCGTTCTACGGGCAGGCGTTCTACCACTATACGTCTCCAAGCTATCCTGACATCTGCACAGGGGGCATTTAGGCGCCTTGTACAACATGCACAGGCTACTGGGGACTTGATTCTGCCCTGTGATCCCCACTGGGGTAGGTTTGAAGGTGAACTTAGACACAACTCCATACGTTCACCTACTACACATACAAGTGAAAAAAGAACATTCATTCTAGCAACCAATTGATACATAAAAGGTGAAATTGTCCCTCTCAATCTAGTACCAATTAATGATGTGTTTTACGATGGATAAACATTTTACCCTCATTACTGCCTCTGTGGTCTAATGGTAGAGTTACCCTGTCTGGTGCTCGGCATTAAGGGGCTAAAACAAGGACTGGTCAGCTCGGAGTCAGTATACTATGTCTGAGTGGGGTATTCATGTTAAACTGCAGCATGGCATCTCGGTGTGCTAGCACTATAAATCGGCATCAGTCCGGACTAGTACAAGCAGCCACTCACCTCACCTCATCAACTTTCTTATTCAAATCTTAGTGACTAATCTAGGTTTAACAGTTTTTCCATAATATCATAGCGTGTCAGCTTAATATGTCAGAAAAAAACTGAAAAGAGGAAGGTAGACACTGATCACTTTGGTCAAACCATGACCACGGGTACGGTACTGACAACCCTTCCTGAAGACCTTCCATCACCAAACACAAGTTCTTATACTTACTTAGAAGTTGGAGAACAGGAGTTTGTATGTCCGCTACTTGGTGACTCACCTCAACTCAGTCAGGATGGATCTGGCCTCGAGAAGGGCCTCCCTCTGGATGCGGCCGAAGGGCATATACTCTGTATCCACCCCAGCCTTCGACACAGATCTTTGCAACATGGTCTGGTTGCTCTGAAGCAAAATCAAATATGCTGAATAATAGGAATGACTTTTGGGGCTATTTCCATTATTATAATTGTACTGAAATAGTACTCCACTCTTTTGCAAAAGTATTGTGATTGTATTAAACCAACTTTAAGGCTTGATAATTATATTACTCAATGAAATAGAAGCAATAAAGTATTGACTACAATTAGGGCTGGGACGTGTAACTTGGGCCAGGTGGGTACTGAGTAGGACCCAGGTCCGTGGTTTGTCATGTGATATATGGTTTTATGACAAAAATTATCTAGAACTCCATGAATACACGACAGGTCACAATTATTCGCATTTCTTTTTGGCTATTCACGCATTCCTTCTGACTTGTATATTTAGATATAAAGATAGCGCGTCAGTCAATTTCAGTAATGCATGACTTGATCGTTTTGTAGTTTACCTAAATACTCTTTGCCAGCGCTCTGGTCAAACAATTCCTTATTGTAAGTGGTCAATTAGGTATTAAAGTGATGTCATGTCATATCCTACTATGCAGGATAAAATGTTGTCATGATTTAAGAACATGCATCATTACAGTTGGGTTGTTGTCAGCAATATTCCAGCCAGACCACCATATCAAGCTGGTCTCAAATTAATAAGAGCCTCACCTATTTCACTCATGCTGGTCAAGTGATCAAATTGTCGCCGCCTCAGATTTAAGCTGCGACAACTTGGACCTAACTGACCACAAAATGTCCCCCCACAAGATACAGCAACTACATGTGTCTTACCATCTCTTTGATCAGGTCTTGGATGGGCAGGGGAAGTTTGGAGGGAATTTCAGAATTCAATGAAAAGTCGACCGACTTGACTTTGGTATACTTCTGCTCTCTTGGCACAAGGCGGTACTTCTTCGGATGGTTTACATAGCTGGACACAAAGAGGAAGTCTTTGTTATTGAACAGATCAGATACAGTGAAACAAGTTTACGACACAAAATATCACAATTTCACTCTATCACAGTATACAAAAGTGAAAAATCTAACACAAGGAGAATGGCTTTCTGTTTTCATCACAGGATTTGTTGGTTTGCTGTTTAACGCCGCACTCAGCAATATTCCAGCTATATGATGGCGGTCTGTAAATAATCGAGTCCGGACCAGACAATCCAGTGATTGACGTTATGAGCATTGATCCTCGCAATTGGGATACGATGACATGCATCATCCAAGTCAGCGAGCCTGACCACCCGATCTCGTTAGTCGCCTTTTACGACAAGCATAGTCGCCTTTTACGGCAAGCATGTGTTGCTGAAGACCTATTCTACCCTGGATCTTCACGGGTCTTTTATCCCAGGAAGATACTACTCGAAAAAAGGAAGGACCATTAAATTCTGCCATAGATAATCTGTATGTCCTGGCATGACAGAGTAACTAAAGTAACATGAAAGAAGCAGGTGATCCTTAACTTTTCTTTAGCTGTATATTTAGGGAACATTGATCTCTACATTCTCTCCCTCCACTTTCTTCCTTCTGGACTTCCAATTAGTATGCTTTTGTTACAATTCACCATGAACTGAAGTTTGGATAGACTTAAATCATTCAAGGACAGGCAACTCTATATTATTGCAGTATGGCTATTTTGTGGTGTGATATGGGTAGATTATGTGGTTTACATCACTTCCTGTTTGGGATTATGCATAATGCATAATCAGTATGCATACGACCTAGATTAGGTCAAGGGACTTCGTCTAAACAAATGGGTTCTTTTCTAATCAATTTCGAATGGAGGTAGGGGTAATTCCCCTTCGAACACATTCCAGAAACTAGAAAAATGTTAATGTGTACACTTACGAGTAGCCATGACATACCGCAACGAGTCCTTTATTCAATCAAGTGATGAAATATTTTGCTTAAATTTGCATAAGTAAACCGTCGACAGGGGGTGTGGATTACAAGATTTACTGATACCGCGATAATATGGAGCCCACGATAATACAGATTCATACTATACACTTTGTAAGAATATCGAACTGCTGAAACAGCAAAGCATAAAAGAAAACTTGGCTCAAAATATAACCTACGTTTTGACATTATTCCAGTCATTGCCAGTTTTGGAGCGGAAAATTTTACAGAACTCCTTCACTCCATCTTCTTTCTTCCTGAAGGGTGTGTGCTGAAACTGTCCTTCGTCTCCGATACGGCCCCATCTTGTGAATAACATATAAATATCCTTTCCTTTCTGGTAGACCAACTGAAACATGAACGTGGTTAGGATATTACAGCCATATCGTGGGGACCTGCAAAGCTTTCAGTGAAGGATATGATCAGACCAATCAATGGTCAACTCGGCAAGTCACTTCAAGTGGGAGTGCATGTTGTTTTAAGTGGTGTGGTGTGTGGTGGTGGTGTGTGGTGGTGTGTGGTGTGTGGTGGTGTGTGGTGCGGTGCGGTGCGGTGTGGTGGTGGTATGTGGTGTGGTGTGGTGTGGTGTGGTGTGGTGTGGTGTGGTGTGGTGTGGTGTGGTGGTGGTATGTGGTGTGGTGTGGTGTGGTGTGGTGTGGTGTGGTGTGGTGTGTGGTAGGTGAGGTGAAACAGGGAATAACCTTTATAAAGCGACATGCATTCACTTATTGTGTGTGTAGCTGCAAGTGCCCGTCTGGACATGCACCAATTTTATAGTACTAGCCCACTGAGATACCATGCCACATGGATACCCACTCAAACCATAGTGACTCTTAGTTGACCAGTCCTTGTTTCAACCTCTTAATGCCGGCATCAGACAAGATAAGAAATACCATTTTTTTCTTTTCTTTTGGTATGCCGAGGTGTACATGCAATTCGCTCCCTGAAGAATGCTTCACGTGATCAGTGCACTAACATTGTAATGGTTGGCATCATTTGATCATGCTTCAAGTCTACCAGAACAGTGTCTGTCATCTCACCTGCATCTTGTAGAAGTTGTACATGCCGTAAGAACCGTAGGACACATCCACCTTTGACAACAAGACATCGTATGGAATGTGTTGCTTGGTGTCCTCAGCCACCTCGCTGGAACAAGAAAAACCTCACTGGAAATCTCAACAATACGATGTTTGTTTGTTTGTTTGTTGTCTACCGCTGCACTCAGCAATATTCCTGCTATGACAGTTGTCTGTAAATAATCGAGTCTGGACCAACAATCCAGTGATTAACATCACAAGCATCATCTACTGAGAGAATTAGGGGAGGGTTTGGCCTGATTGACATCACAAGCATTGATCTATGCAATTGGGAGTTGATGACATTGATCAACAGTCAGCGAGTCTGACCACCCATCCCATTAGTTGCCTCTTGCAAGCATGGGTTGCTGAGAGACATGTCGACAACATGAAATGATTAACTACATCAAAGGCTTAACCCTTTTTCTGTTACTTAAATTGATATTCAAGCTATATCCCACAGTCATCAGTAGGTATGCTAAGTCTTGGGTACTATAGACTTATCAAACATACTGGAACAGAGTACTAGAGCAAGGTTCTATAGTTGACAGGCCTGGTGAGTGAGTGAGTATGGTTTTACGCCGATTTAGCAATATTCCAGCATTATCTCGGCGGGGGACACCAGAATTGGGCTTCACACATTGTGCCCATGTCGGGAATCGAACCCGGGTCTTCGGTGTGACGAACTAACGCTTTAACCACTAGGCTACCCGACCGCCCCTGACAGGCCTGGATGTTAAACCATCACCGCTGACGCAGATAGGCAGAATGAAGACATGATGAAGTGGTAAACAAATATCCATGCTTATAGGGTAGCATGATACACAATTGCTATGATATGTTTGTTTCTTTGTTGTTTAACGTGGCACTCAGCAATATTCCAGCTATATGATGGCGGTCTGTAAATAATCGAATCTGGACCAGACAATCCAGAATTGCATCAACCAAGTCCACGAGCCTGACCACCCGATCCCGTTAGTCGCCTCTTAGGACAAGCATGGGTTCCTGAAGACCTATTCTACCCTGCATCTACACGGGTCCTCTCCTAAATGAATACTTAAGACACTAACCTGGTATCCCTATTAAGACAATGGCTGTCAACAGGGGTCCGCAAGTCATCTTCATCCATGGCTTCAGCTGTAAGTTTGTCCATGACCTTCGCGTAATCAGCTTGGAAGTCAACTTTGGCCCCATCACTGAGGATTCCATCACTGACTTCAAATGATGTAAATGTAGCCTTTTCCTATGAAAAAATATATTCATTTAATAATACTATTTAAGCTCAGGCAATGACTTTTGAAAATATAAAGCGGGTGGGCGGTGTGTTTTTTTTTGGCGGGGGGGGGGGGGGGGGGGCTTGTTCAATCTAAAATGTAACAAAATAAACAGCTGTGTACCATCAACCGGGGAAAGGGCTTCCCTACATAAAAAAGAATTCAAACTCCTATTGCCACCATGACCACAACAGAAGATGTGCAGTAAAGCAGTGTGCATGTAAAGGGAAGTAACTGAGTGCTATATTGGATCGAACTGTTTTTAAGTAATACTATAAGGATTTCTTTTTCTTTCTTTTTTAAGACTAAGACTAATATTGTTTTTAGCTTTAATTTTTTAGCCTTATTTGGTAGGATAATGCTATATTTCATACTGTTACAAAACCTTTGGTTATAAGTACAAGCATTCAAGACAAAATAAGAACATCACTCATAAATAAGTTAAATAGCAAACATATAAATGATCCGAATAAGCTATGCCCTCATTCTTATAAAAAAAATTCTCCACTGTGAGATCCTATTACAAATGCAAATATTTTTATGACCTTGGTTCTCAACCACATACTGGTATCAGCCCTCCAAGTAGCGACCTAACTTACCATTTAGCGACCTGTATTTATTGCATAAATTAGCTTGGTGACTAAAATATTTCACATACTGAAAGTGAGTGAGTGTGGTTTTACGACGCTTTTAGCAATATTCCAGCAATATCACGGCTGGGGACACCAGAAATGGGCTTCACACATTGTACCCATGTCGGGAATCAAACCCGGGTCTTTGGCGTGACGAGCGAACGCTTTAACCACTAGGCTACCCGACCACCCCCACATACTGAAAGAAACTGGAGAAGAGCATTTTGGCAGTATTGACATCATGACTTCCCTGTGTACAGTGTAGTTACTCTTTACAGCGATACTGAAGCCGTTCTTGCTCCTGTAAAGTTTATGTATTTCTGGCACATTTCTCAGTTTACTTTCACAAAGGCGACATGTTCACATCATAGAAGAATTTTTCGCCATGTTTTCAAGAGCCATCTCTAAGCCACACTGTCCATGACAGTTGGTTGGTTGGTTTGTTGTTTTACGCTGCAATATTCCAGCTATATGACGGTGGTCTGTAAATAATCGAGTCTGGACCTGACAATCCAGTGATTAATATCATGAGCATCGATCCACACAGTTGGGATCGATGACATGCATCAACCAAGTCAGCGAGCCTGACCACCCGATCCCGTTAGTCGCCTCTTACGACAAGCATAGTCGCCTTTTACAGCAAGCATGGGTTTTTGAAGACCTATTCTACCCCCGATCTTCACAGGTCCAGTCCATGACAGAATGACATCACTATGGCTATATTGCATCCTTGATGCATACAAATTGAGAATGTGTGCAAGTAATTTACATTTCCCATTATATTAATAAACTGATGTTGTTTGAAGCATCACTTCATAACAATCGTAGAGTGAATGTTACATACTCACATTTCAATATTGGAAAAAATACACTTCCATGTACAGGGGGTCAGTGGTTTCTTCAATATAACATTAAATTCATTATTCATAATGTGTTTCAGGCTTTTGAGTATGTGCAATGATATGGCATCCTTGGAAATCATGAATCGTGTATCATGTCACCAGCCTTGATCCCCAAAACTTAATTACCGGGACTCCCGGGACTCCCGGGACTAGAGAGACCAAGCTCAACAGCAATGTAATGATCTTACCTCCTTTTCTGATTTTAACAACTTCTGCAACTGTGCTGCAATATTTGGTGCTCCTCGAATCAGTGCATAATGAAGGGGAGTCAACCCTGCATTATCCTTCTTATCAAGTAAGGCTCCAGTGTGAGCTAGAGTACACAATAGTTCAACTTGATCGAATGTGCCGAGTTCTAGTGGGGACACGAGGTGGTGTATGACAGTCCAGCCCTGGTTGTCCGTAGCGTCCAGATCTACACTGCTCGTCTTCTCCACCATCTTAACTGCAGCACCAACACATGCACACATCAGCAATCAATAATGATGATAATAATTATGACAACAACAACAAATCATGATAGCCCATGGCTTATGCTTTTTGTTTGTTTGTTTGTTGTTTACCGCCGCACTCAGCAATATTCCAGCTATATGATGGCGGTCTGTAAATAATTGAGTCTGGACCTGACAATCCAGTGATTGACATCATGAGCATCGATCCACGCAATTGGGATATGATGACATGTAACAACCAAGTCAGAGAGCCTGACCACCCGATCTCATTACTTCCCCTTACGACAAGCATAGCCGCCTTTTACGGCAAGCGTCCATGCCTTATCCACAAGACTTCAACCAGAGCGTATAATTGAACATGATTCCCCCTGACAGATCAATGCGTATTGCCAATTGCATTCTCAGCTACCTGAGGAGTCTACCTGTCAGTGGTTGGCTAAGTGTGATCAGACCTAGATCAGGTGAGTGAGTGAGTGTTTGAGTGAGTTGGGCTTAACGCCACTTTTGACAGTATTCAAGTTATATCACGGCGTGTCAGCTTAATGTGGAAGGAAAGCCTAAAGTGATAATACTATTCTGCACAGCGAACCGCGGCACCTTAGACGAATGGGCCACCTGTGCCCCCGACCTAGATCAGGAATATAGGTGATAAGTTACGCAAGGGTAAATTCTTCATCTGTCTTGTTTCACATTATGGGGTACATTTTCTACCCATTAGGAGACTTGCTGAAATTGAGCCTTGAACAAACATGCCAAAGGCTGATGACAACAGTGGCTCAAGATACCAATAAACTCACAAGAATGGAGGACCTATTCTGAATCCAAATCAGACGTCAAACATTAATGTCACTTATTACTTATATTATAACTATAATCAAGTACTGTCAGTACTGCTAAAGAAAACACTGTCATTCACTACCTCCGAAAAGGCGGAGAAATTCATTCTTATTTTCACAAGCCCCCACCCAAATATCTGCTGCAGCGCTGCAATCTATCTAAATGTAAAAGTGGTCTCAACTAGAAAATGTCAGAAGTACTTCCTGAAAAGTACTTGTCTTGTACATGCGGATTTAATTTCAAACCCTTCAAAATTCAAATTACCTTTTCTGGCCAGACTACTTCCTTGCTTCCTCAGTGACAGCTGCTTGCTGAGGACTGAAATCTTGGCAGGAGCTTCCTCTTCGTCTTCCTCCTCCACAACATCAGTATCATGGTCACTGTCCTCTGCCACTTCTTCTTCTTCATCAAAAATATCCTCTGGCTCTTCATCTTCTTCAGCTTCTATTTCTTTATCATCCAAGTCCATCTGTTTCACAGAACTGCCACACTCACTACCACCCTGGCTCTTACTCTCACTTCCGTTGCCCAACTGTCCGACAACTTCAGGTGTCAATGACATGGAACCATCTGGTCGTAACATGAACACAGTCCGAGATGCACTCCTAAACAATGAGGGCTCTATGTTGAAACTATCTGCTACTGGCTGAGCCTTGGGGTCGTAGGAAAAGTTCATTAACAACTTTACGATCGCACCATCGTTCTGAAAAAAGAAGTGAAGAATGGATCCATATTGTGTAATTTGCAAACAGAAAACCTCCACTACTCCTCATTCTAGAATATATACTACACTCAAACACTGTTTATGCAAGCTGACAACCGAAAATGATGAATAAAGAAGGAATATGCAGGGATCAAGCTTTACTTCGAGACAACCATAAGTTCGACACAACAGTGTTTGTCAGTACATGCTATTGTGTGACACTTTACTTTATTTCTCCATCAAGGAGGCAAAGACAGTAAATAGTTATTCTTATCCTGTGGTCCGTAAAAAATTGAATCTGAATCAGGCCAATCATGATCCTCTCACAATGAGTGAGAGAGCTTGGTTTAACCTCACCTTGAACAGTATTTCGGTTATATCACACGTCATCTTAATATGGGAGGAAAATCCCTAAGTGTTTTAGATCATAAATAGTTAGCCCTTTGAGACACCCCAGCATTGGTATGGTGATGACAAACCCAGAAACATAATGAGGGTGAATCCGGTATTCGAACCCATGATCGCAGCAAATTGTGGTGCCTAAGATGATTAGGCCACCATACCCTCAAACCAAACACAAACAGGCTGTACACACGCACTGAGACCATCCCACATTTTGCCAAAGAGTGATGAGTCAGTGAGTTATGGTTTATAGTCACATCGGCAATATATAAGCCATATCGTCAAGAGTGATGATGAATAGAACCTTTTTCTCTCATGGTTCACCAACAAAATGCCCCAATAAGATGCTTCTTAATTTTGCTGCTTGCCACAATAAAATATCTGACACACAGGTAGGGCAGATTTTACACAGAAATTAAAAGATTCTTTCAAACAATATCAAACCCTTCTGTTTCACAAATCATATTTTTATGAATCATTTAAAAGGCTTATTATCCATAACGTTCAGACACTGCATTTATAAAAGTATGCAAAGACATCAAATTTAAGAAGGAACTACCAGGACAGATAATAAGTTAACTTAGCTTAGTTCAGTTGTCTATTTTATCGTTTGTTGCCAAACTGCAGTCATTACTATTTCATTGAATAGCAACCATCGATGCCATCACTGTATGTCACAAAATCACCAAATGATTTTTTCAGTCACCCCCTGCACAGTGTTGGAACTAAAATACATTGCAAGGCTGCCGTCAGGACCCCTGGCTTTAGAAGCTGCAGGCCCTAAATAAACTCAGCTAAAAAACTGTAGCTTATTGTGACAAATAAATCAACACTTATTTTTATTGCAGGCCAAAAGGACCCATGCAAATTTAAACTACGGGCCAGACACAAGATCTACCTGCCACAGGCCTTTAGGCAGCCGTTTGTTTAGAACACTGCTCCTACAAGCAGCATATGTGCTGGGGATTGTATTCTCACAAGGATCGCCACAGCTGAATGTTTCACAGGACTTACTTGTCGTGCAGCATGCATGAGGGGTGTGCGCCTGGTGCTGTCGTCAAAGTTGGGTGATGCACCATTGTTGAGCATGAAGCTGACCAAGCCAAACTTGAAGTAATGTATCGCCAGGATTAGGGGCGACACCAGCAGATCCCCCTTGTCTGTAAAGTAGTCCGGATATCGGTTGGACAAACAGGACCCCAGCAGGAGGGAGTCGGGCAGCGGGCAGTCAAACCGCACATCAAATGATGCACCCTTATCCACCAGCATCTTCAACCACCTGAACAGACGAAAGAACATCAAGTAATGAAAGGGAGTGAATTGGGCTGGGCTTTCAACATTATTCCAGTTCTATATGCACTGTAAATGTAGAAAAAAAGCCCATACCTGACACCAGAGTAAGTATGGTTTTACACCGCTTTGATCAATATTCCAGCAATATCACGGCGGGAGAAATGGGCTTCACACATTGTACCCATGTCGGGATTCGAACCTGGGTCTTCGGCATACGGGTGAACGCTTTAACCACTAGGCTACCCGACCGCCCCCCTTACACCAGACATTCAAGTGATTGATATCATGAGCAAAAACCAATGCTGTCAGAGTATGATGATATGCTATTAACCGAGTGGCAAGCTTGACCACCTGATCTACTGAGTGTCCTCTCATGGCCAGCGTATGTTGCTGAGGGCCTATTCTAACCTGGAATAGCCCCAGGGTTCCCCCATTCTATAAGCACAGGATGTAAAACTTCCCAGCGTCAAATGAAGGAAATGCTATCTCGTTGACAGTGGTTCTTTCTGAAGTCGGAAGAGGAAGACTCACTTTGTGTTGACATCACAGATGTTCCACATGTAGGCTGACATCACATCTCTGCCAAACTCATCCTTGTTCTTCACATCCAGGGCAGGGTCATTATCTACACAAACAGACACAGGTATTCATAAACCACAAGGTTTCAAAAAACAGTGTGAATGAACATGGTTTTACACTAATTTCACAATAATTACATTAATTTTGATGTACCGTATTTTCTTGAGTATAGTGCGCACTTTTTTTCGAAAAAACACAGCTGTGTAGAAGGGGGTGCGCATTATACACGAATTATGAGTTTGGATGTTTTTTTCCCCCATGGAAAGACATTACCGTGAGCACGAAACACCGGGAATACCATGTCAACAAATCCATACTGAAGTACGCAAAATAATTATGTAATTACACTGTCTGGCTATAAAAAAGTGTTCTTTGTATATCTGGACTTATGTTTGTAACTTAATTCATTGATTTTATTCAAAATTCCTTATGATATTGTTTTTATTAATTTCGGCGAAATCGTGTGTGAAGCGATCGGAAGATCGCACAACTCACCGTTATTAACAGCAACCACGGTCAGAATACCGCTATTGACGCCTTGAAACAAACTTTAGTTGACAGAGAATGGATACATATATCATAAATGACATACTTTGACTCGTTAAAAGTCATATTTGTTTTTGTTTGATGATTCTATGTCAACATAAAATTCTCGCGATCACGTGATCACGTGCGCGTGAGCCTTGACGGTGACTGGTCAGACTGGTTCCATGTAAAAAATAATACCCGGGAATAGCGATCAGCTGCTTCGCTTAGGGTTATTATTATTTTAAATATGTTTAGTAAAGGTTGCATATAATTAAGAAAAAAATGGAATATATTATTCCTGATAAATAAAATAGTTTCAGATACAATTGTTGCCGATCCTTGCATTAAAAATCTTATAAAGTTATATCATTGGGTTTGTCTTGACCGAATCACCGGTCGATTCCAAGAAAACGTGTGTACAGCTGATTGCTGTTTCCAGCTTAGTTTACGAGAAAATACACAAGGTAATCTTAATCCCTAAATATAAAACAATGCCTAGCAGAACAATAAATACTATTTAAACGGTAAATAAACATGTCTGGTGATTTTTTATCTCAAATTTCGAATTTGTACTGACGAAGTTTCTCAGCACCCGTTCGTCTGCCGGACTTCGCTGAAAGGGTACTGTGTAAAAATTTTCTGCGCATATTCAAATTTCTTTTTTTCCAAAATATTGAACCCGCTAGAGGGGGGTGCGCATTATACATGGGTGCGCACTATACTCAAGAAAATACGGTATTTCAGTTCATTGTCGACTTTAGAAGGAAATATTTGCAAGTACATTTATTAGCAGACGTGTTTTCCAATATCAGCTGTTATTTATTTTTGTGTCTACAGATGTGTAGCAATAGAATTTAGTCGCCACAAAATATTTTTCTAGGTAGTCATTTGGCTACCTCTGAATTTTAGACAGTAGACAAATTGAAATTTAGGTCGCATTGGCTACCGTTTCAGTCGCAACTTTGAGGCCTGATTAATCCCCTTGGCTGTACTGTGAAGGCTTAAATACATGGTGCTAACTTACCAATCAAAAACTGTCCCATCTGTACTGGCAAGTGATGAATGGCTGCGTACTGAAGAGGAGTACAGCCATGTTTGTCTCGCAGCCCCACGGGCACGCCTTTGTCACGCAACATCTTCGCTACCTGGTTTGTATACAAATACACCGTCACACACGAAAAGCAAAATCTACAGTGTAATTTGTTGCCCCTCGGAACTAAAGTGTACCAGCCAGGACACTTCTGATCCATCTTCATATCCAGTGATAGTCATCTCAGCATGAGCTGGATAATGAGCAGCCCTCATCTAGTTAGTCTCCTTTTTCATTCAGCCTGACAGCATCTTGTTTTTTATGGATCATGTTGTTCATTAAGCTCGTTTCTATATTCATTTTACATGTTTGTACAGAATACTTCCGCTAAAGAACATATCTAAGTTTTGTTTGTTTGTTTGTTGTTTAACGCCTCACTCAGCACTTTTACAGCTATATGATGGCTGTCTGAAAATAATCGAGCCTGGACCAGACAATCCACTGAATTGGGATATGAAGACATGCATCATCCAAGTCCGTCAGCTTGACAACCAGATCTCCTGTTAGTTGCATATTACGATAAGCAATTGGTAAGCATGTGTTGCTGAAGACTGTGTGTGTGTGTGGAGAGAGGGGGGTAACAACAAGTACCATCTTTCTACTTCATTTCTGCTTCTATGTACTCCAACCTTCAGTCAAAAATCTAAAATCACTGTTGAACAAAGTCTAGTCAGTGAGAAGGGGATGAGGGGTCATGCAGATGTTTAGTGGTTGAGGAAGTTTAGCGGTTTAGGAGGGCAGGGATTTATGGGTGAGGGTGAGGAGAGGTACCGGGCAGGGAAGGGAGGGAGAGAGCAGATGAGGATGTGTGGGAGACAAATCAGCAGCATCTTATGTTATACTCTTAAACAATCCAGGCATCTAAAGGGACATCACTCAGTAACCTGCGTCATGGAACCATCATCAACCCATCTTCAAGCACTGGTGAATAACAGAGCAACAGCACTCACCTTGAGCTGTGCATCCAGATTGGACGACCCTTTCGTCTTCAAGATGAGCATGTGGAACAAATTCCTGCCTTCTTCATTGATTGCCTGAAGTCGACTTGGCTCCGGGATCCGCTTTATCAGCCGTAGTGCCACATTGTACTTAGCCTCAGTGAAGGCAGCCTGTCAAGCATCGTGTATTACAGCAAATTAACAACTGGTGCAATTACATTTTGTTTGTTTGTTGTTTAACGCTGCACACAGCAATATTCCAGCTATTTGATGGCGGTCTGTAAGTAATCGAGTATGGACCAGACAATCCAGTGATCGACAACATTAGCATCGATCCACGCAATTGGGATGTCAGCAAGCCTGACCACCCGATCCCTTTAGTCGCCTCTTACAACCAGCAAATTCCCCTTTTATGGCAAGCATGGGTTGCTGAAGACCTATTCTACCCCGGATCTTCACGGGTCGCAATCAAATTGGTACTCATCTGGACATATACTGATGGAAATAAATACAGGAACAGTCAATTAAGGAAGCATGTGTTTTTGTCGCTTCCTTTCAACTCTTACAGACATGAAGTATCCATATTGATTATAGCATCAAACTATCTATTATTTAGTATAAGGCTTATAAAAATACAAGAATTGATTCTCAAGAAATGATTTTGAAAATATAGTGCGGGCAAGGTTTGTTTTTGGCTTGTTCAAACTAGTATGTAATCAGATAAACAGTTGGGTACCATCAACCTTGGAAAGGGGCCTCCCTACATAAACAAGTATTGCTACTATTGCTGCCATGACCATAACATGAGATGCGCAGTAAAGCATTGCGGATGTAAAGGGAAGTAACTGTTTGCTATATTGGATCGCACTGTTTTCAAGTATTAGTACCTTTCATATATTTTTTTTTTAAAGTGGAAATAAAACCGAAACATATGCCAAGCTTTATGATGATGTCGGTGGTGCCTGAGAACCAAGACTTTTACTTTTTTAGCCTCATAGACATGAAGTATCCATATTGATCATAGCATCAAACTATCTATTATTTTGTATGAAATATTTCACAAAAATGGAGCAAAAATCTGTATTGAAACATGTGGTTTCATGACTCAAGTATGGCACACCACATCTTTAGAAGACACCCCTACACTGTACATCATCAGTGTGAGTGAGTGTGTGAGTTGGGTTTAACGCTGCTTTTAACAGTATTCCAGTTATATCACTGCGTGTCAGCTTAATGTGGGAGGAAAGCCCAAAGTGATGCAGGTCTCAGACGTTTACCACTTCGGTGAAACCCACGAGCACGGGTATGGTGCTGACAAACCTAGAAACATAATCGGGGCGAACCGGAATTCGAACCCACGATCATAGGTTTCTGGCATGCCCAATGGACACAACTCTGCACAACGAATCGCGGCGCCATAGACGACTGGGCCACCCGTGCCCCCCTCATCATCAGTGAAAGCTTGTTTGTGTAATGTGAACTCTTGTACCTACCTCCACAGCTGAGAAGTCAATGCCGTTGATGTCCAGTATCAAGTGAGCCACACCCTGAAGCTCACTCCGGAGAGCTCCCTGAAATATGAATGTCAATTCATTTAGCAAGGCTCAACACTCAAAATCTAAAGTACAGCATCCCATCAGGGATAGAAATTAGCACTAGCCTGTTAGTCCGAGCCAATTTCACCAATGTTATAGGTACCCTAAGGGCTGGTAGAATTTCAAACATTTTGGAGGTGTGTCTGTATGTTATCACTATTGGGGCTAGTAGAATTTCTAGGTAAATTTCCATACCTGCCCAGATCAAAAGATGTATTGTCAGAATATAACATTACATTGGTTGAATGAGTTTGGTGTCAGTCTGCTGTAAACAGTATTTCTGTTATATCACAGAGTGTCAGTTTGATGTGGGGACATAAGCCCAACTGATGCAGATCTTAAACAATTACCACTTTAGTGAAAACCACAGGCACATGTATGAGTGAGTGAGTTGGGTTTAATGCCACTCTGATCAGCTTTCCTGGGTAGTCAGCTTAATGTGATTTTGAGTGAGTGAGTGAGTTGGGTTTAATGCCACTCTGATCAGCATTCCTGGGTAGTCAGCTTAATGTGAGAGGAAAGCCCAAAGATATGCAGGTCTCAGACGTTTACCAATATGGGGAAACCCACGATCACAGGCATGGTGCTGACAAACCTAGAAACATAATCGGGGCGAACTGCAGTGGTAGAAACTAACAGTTTTAGTCCACTAGTCCTTATAATGATAACATATAGCAAAACCCTTAAAATGGCAAATTTCTACTAGTCCTTATCATACCTTAACTATTGGGCAGTCTGGCAAGCACTATGAGACCAGTGCCCATTTCTAACCGACAATAATAGGTTTCTGGCATGTCCAAGGGATGCAACTCTGACCAGGTATTTTTGAGTTAAAGAGACAGAACATTTTTTCAAGTCCTTCTTAATAAATAAAAAGACAATTCTCTGGAAGGGTGAGGTGAAATTGGGTTAAACGTCGCGTCCAAGATTATTGCACTTATATAGCGACGTGCATGCACGTGTGGGCGTGTGGCTGCTTGTACTAGTCCGGACTGATGCCGATTTATAGTGCTAGCCCACTGAGATACCATGCTGCAGTTTAACATGAATACCCCACTCAGACACAGTAAACTGACTCCAAGCCGACCAGTCCTTGTTTTGGCCCCTTTATGCCGAGCGCCAGACAGGGTAACAACAAGTACCATCTTTTAACGTCTTTTGGTATGATGCGGCCTGGGATCGAACCCCGGACCTTCGCTCTCCGGGCGGACGCTCTACCACTAGACCACGGAGGCGGTATTCTCTGGAAGGAGAAGCTGTCCCCCTTCCCAAGGATATGACATGCTCGGTCCCTACACCCGATGTGATGGTCAAAATACAAGCGACTTACCTGGAACACAGGGTACACAACCTTCTCTGGTTTGATGACCTTCACCCACTGAGTGAGGGGCCTCCAGGTCATCACAGATCGCTGCTTCTTCTTGTCGTTGTCAGTCTTAGCTATCTCCTCGGGCGGAGGAACAACAATAGAATCTCGTACACTATCACAACGCTGGATCAGCATGATAGCACAGCTGGAACAAAATGTAATCAAAGTTTGGCTTAAATAACGTAAAATAATCTCATCAAAGTTGGTAACAAGTTGCGCCCAATAACGTGAATCATGTTCGTTTTATCTGAATTGTCTTTAATCAAAGACGCAGAACCCGTAGATATCTTTATACTTAGGGGTGTCACGACAAATTGAAATATTGTTATATTGCTATTGGTAGGCACTTAAGTCAATAAATCGATTGTTAAATCAGTTTCCGATTAATAGTATCGATCTCAGTTAGGAATATCGATAGTGTCGATTGTATTTACCATATCAATAAAATACATGCAATGCTGTTCAAATTCGTTTTTCTTTTGATCATGAGTGGTAGTAATTTACACATAGTAATGTGGAAGTTTCTTTTTCTTAAATTATTCGGGTAAAGAAAATACAAATCAGTCATATCTCAAACTTTACTTTTTATTTGTTGTCATGGTTATCACATTCAAAGGAAACTTCAGTTCCAAGGTTTAATTCAACTCTAAAATCCATCTAAAATGATACACTGAAAACTATCAATATTTATCGCAATAGTTGCTTGCAATATCAATAGTTATCGCAATAGTTTCTTTCAATATCAATAGTTATCACAATAGTTTCTTTCAATATCAATAGTTATCACAATAGTTTCTTTCAATATCAATAGTTATCGCAATAGTTTCTTTCAATATCAATAGTTATCGCAATAGTTTCTTTCAATATCAATAGTTATCACAATAGTTTCTTTCAATATCAATAGTTATCGCAATAGTTTCTTTCAATATCAATAGTTATCGCAATAGTTTCTTTCAATATCAATAGTTATCACAATAGTTTCTTTCAATATCAATAGTTATCACAATAGTTTCTTTCAATATCAATAGTTATCGCAATAGTTTCTTTCAATATCAATAGTTATCACAATAGTTTCTTTCAATATCAATAGTTATCACAATAGTTTCTTTCAATATCAATAGTTATCACAATAGTTTCTTTCAATATCAATAGTTATCGCAATAGTTTCTTTCAATATCAATAGTTATCACAATAGTTTCTTCAATATCAAATAGTTATCGCAATAGTGATTTCCTGACCAACAGTCACCCCTATTTATACATTCCAAAAAGTTCCAATAAGACTATTGTATTGCAGGTCGACAAATTTCAGTGTATTGCAGCATTGTGATACATATAGTATTGTGATTTGTCTCAGCCCTTCAACCAAGTGCATATTCACCTTTCATGCCGATGTTTCACAGCTAACGACAACGGGGTGTTACCGGTGTGGTCCTTTTTGCCTATCTCTGCCTTCCTCTGTAAGTACAAGTTTATGAATCATCATTCCATGACAACAACAATTCAACATTCAACCTCTGCAGCATCAACACCTACAACATTCAAAACCTACACCATCAACATTCAACCCCCACAGCATTCAAAACCTACACCATCAACATTCAACCCCCACAGCATTCAAAACCTACACCATCAACATTCAACGCCCACAGCATTCAAAACCTACACCATCAACATTCAACCCCCACAGCATTCAACACCTACACCATCAACATTCAACCCCCACAGCATTCAAAACCTACACCATCAACACCTACACCATCAACACCTACACCATCAATACCTAAAGCATTCAACACACACCATCAACATTCAACCCCCACAGCATTCAACCCCCACAGCATTCAACACCTACACCATCAACACCTACACCATCAATACCTAAAGCATTCAACACGCACCATCAACATTCAACCCCCACAGCATTCATCACCCACACCATCAACACCTACAACATTCAACACCTACAGCAATTCAACACACACCATTCAATCTCTACACTATCAACTCCTACAGCATTCAACATTTACAACATTCAACACCTACACCATCAACATTCAACACCCACACTATTCAACACCCACTGCATTCAACACCTTCAACATTCAACACCAATCAAAGAAAGGCTTCATGATATAATACAGCCATTACATTCCTCTTCACAGAATTCACGATAGATAACTTTCCATTTCAAACACATTTTTGTATTGTTTGATTTGTTTGTTGTCTTATGCCGCACTCAGCAATATTTCAGCTACATGACAGTGGCTGGACCAGACAATCAAGCGATTGATATTGTGAGCAACAATCCATGCCCTCAGCGTAATATGACACGCTATCAACCAAGTCACAGTGCCCGACAACCCAAACCATTTGGTCTCCTCTTTTAACCAGCACAGGTTGCTGGGAACCAATTCTACCCCTATATCCCGATAAGGTTCATGTACACAACAACCCGTGAAGATTCTGGGGTAGAAAAGGTCTTCAGCAACCCATACTTGCCGTAAAAGGCGACTTTGCTTGTCGTAAAAGGCGACTAATGGGATCAGGTGGTCTCGCTGACTTGGTTGATACATGTCATCGATCCCAAATGCGTGGATCGATGCTCATGGTGTCAATCACTGGATTGTCTGGTCCAGACTCGATTATTTACATAGCTGGATATTGCTGAGTGCAGCGTTAAACAACAAACAAACAAACAAACAAACAAATCATGTACACAACAAACAGCTGATGCACCCCAATGGTCACCCATCAGCAACATGGCACAATATCAACTACATTGTACTTATTCTCATCAGGTAGCTGTTTTTAAAAGACTTGTTTGTTGCTTAACGCCACACTTAGCAAAATTCCTGCTATATGATGACGCTCTGTAAATAATCGAGTCTGGACCTGACAATTCAGTGATTGACATCATGAGCATCAATCCACGCAACTGGGATACGATGACATGTATCAACCAAGTCAACGAGCCTGACAATCCAATCCCGTAAGTCGCCTCTTACGGCAAGCATGGGTTGCTGAAGACCTATTCTCTACCTGAATCTTCATGGGTCTATTTTTCCAAAAGGGCATGGGAAACCTTGAACCTATTCAGCTCTGCAATCTCATTGGGTTCTCATAACATAGGCACCTGTCATAAATAACACCAACTTGGAGAATACCTACCTGCATTAAATGCATGCAGCAGATAGTTGCACCACGCACAGATGCACAGTGTAAGGGCGTCTGACCAAACGCATCAGCATCATCAACGCCGCGGGTGCCCATTTTTGACGTCAGCAAACTACACAACTCTATAGGATCCACAGAAGAACCATTCGTGTGCCTGAACAAATTCAAGAAAACCAGTAAGCAAGGTCAACAATGGAATGTTTTCATACAGTGCTAGAGATCACGGACAAGGGACCTGGAGAAGACATTCAGCTCCTAATATCTGTCAACATCTGTTTGGCCTTTTGTGAATTCATGGATGGATGGATGGATGGTTTGTTGTTTAACGCCACACTCTGCAATATTCCAGCTATATGATGGCGGTCTGTAAATAATCGAGTCTGGACCAGACAATCCAGTGATTAATATCATGAGTATCGATCCACGCAATTGGGATCGATCACATGCATCAACCAAGTCAGCAAGCCTGACCACCCGATCCCGTTAGTCGCCTTTTACGACAAGCATAGTCGCCTTTTATGGCAAGCATGGGTTGCTGAAGACCTATTCTACCCCGGAAACTTCATGGGTCTGTTGTGGATTCAATAATCTTCAGTGATGTTTAATGAACCTATCTGTAGCAGAATGTCGTTTTTATGTCAGCACTATTCTAGCAATATCACAGGGGTCTGACAATAATCAGCAGTGGATGTGCAATGCTCCATGTCATTGGAATATGTAGACTAGGGCTGCATGGTAGTACTGGTATACTGCAAAATACTTCTCAAACAATTCATACTGAAATATTTCTTCTGTGTTCTGGGCCCGTTTCTATAATGTGTTGTCGAATGATTAAGTTAGATATCTATTTTTACATGTTCTCAAACTAGTTTTACGAAAATCTTTGTCGGCAGAATTTTATACAGCTTAATATACATTGTTAATGTCAAATTTTGTTTCGTCACGATATGGCTGAAATATTGCCGATTTGATGTTAAACTTTAACTCACCCACTCACTCTGTGTTCCGGTTATCGGTTATATATATGCTGACTTTGACATCGAAATATTTACTTAAGTGTGTAGAAAAAGGATCTGCAGGTACAATCACCGTCAAACACTTTGCAATACAGATACATGGAATGAAACATACTTCAATGTAATTTGTTTGCCAATAAGCAGCTATAATATCAGCCAGGACCCACATGGTGACCACCCAATCCTCTCATCGTCATCTTCCTTAGGCAAGCATGTTCACAGACTACGAAAGTCCAGTTTCCACTATTGCCAAAAATTCGGCTGGAAGTATGTGGCTAGATTGTAGCGCCACAAGTGGCTATTACGAGTTATGTCCCTTCTATTGACCACCTATCATATAACTTGCAACTGCTTCAAATAAAATGGTGGCGCCCAATCAAGATGATCTGATTGATAATCAAGGTCTATATTATGTTAAAACAGGTCTTCCCTCGCGAAGTTAATGAAATCATTTGCATACCTTGATTAAAAACGTGAAAAGATTTGGAAAATATCTGTCAACGCACAGTTGGCGGTAAACATGATTTGCAAATCCTACAGTAGATCGAAATCTGCACGTTGAAATCCATGTTGTTTGCGAACCGGATATCTAGTTCATTATGCTATTTTGATTGGACTATGCATAGACTCACCAAAAATGTAACTATGGAATTCCAGCTAAGTTCAGCAAGGATATAAACTGGACATTTACAGTCAGTTAACTCCCTTTGCTGGGAAGATGTCTAATCGTCAACTACAGCCGATACTACATAAATCATAACATTCTGTTAGTGAAGCTTATGCGGACAAACAACCTGCCAAGAGAATGTCCTCTCTCGTAGACTATGAATGCTTATCAATGAATGAATCCAACACTGGTAAAATATAACTTAAACCATTTCCTTAATGTAATGGAATCTTCTAATTCTTGAACCTGCCTCCCTACCTTCCAATCTTGACAAAAGCATAGTGAAGAGGTAGTCGTTCTCGGATGTCCTTGGCAAACACATCTGCCCCTTTCTCCAGAAGGTACTCCTCCAGATCTGTGCTGGTGTCGGAGGAGCCATTGTTGCTGTTGATGGCTAGATGGAACACTGTTCGTTTGTGGTTATCAACAGCATTCACATTGGCTCCCGCTGACACTAAAGCCTGGGCCATGGACATCATACCTGCTTCACTAACTGAAAACACAACAGAGGGAAGTTACTTCGGAAACCAACAAAAACATACAACTGAACAAAACTAGGTTATGAAGCTCACTTGGGTTCTCTGAAACATATTTTAGTCAGCACATAAACTTCATCCATTTGAAATAAAGTCCCTGTCTTGAAAAATTCTCTTGGGTCCAATAAGCACAGCTGATAGCATGAATAGTGAAAATAGTTTACAGAACACTAAAATCTACTCAAAAATGACAAAAGCCATGTTCAAGCTAGTGGACACATAAAATTCATGAAAAATATTTCTACATGGCTGTTTTCTGCTAACTGTCAAGATACACACATACAATTCCTATCCAATCAAACAAGCTGAACACGTGGGGGAACTGTGTGAAGAGTTCCCCGATGAGTGCAAGTTCTGCTTTTAAACTAAATATTACACCATGTCCCATAATTCAGCTTACCTCGCTGTTGGACAACAAAATGTAAGGGTGTCTTCTGAGATTTCTTGTGTGTAATATGAACATTTGCTTTAGCATCCACCAACAACTTCAACAATTTCTCCTGACCAGTAACTCTGGAAAGACTGTACGACCTGAAAATAAAAAATATATTGTTTCACATTATACACAATAAATTATTGTTGCAAACAAGTTTTGTTTTGTGTCATATGTAACGTTTAATATACATACCTTTTTTCCACTCAAGAATGACCAAATGCATATTTCAATGTATCTCTATCAATGAAAAATTAAGGAACATCATTTTGTTCAACCCAAGGCCGGATTATTCAGGGTTTTTCAAGACGCAAAATATTGCTTCCTGTACGCATAAAAATTGTGAATGGATGAAAATAATTTCAACCAGAGCCCTGATGGGAACAATAGGTGTATCAGTGGATGACTTTCTTCAATCTACTATTGAAGTCCCCATCAATAACAGGCTAAAAGTTTCTGAGCTTGAGCAGTGACCCCAATATTCAATGTTTGGATCCCCAAAATGTATTGCTGCGAGTTCCTTTAACTCCAAACTAGACAGACCCAGGTATATCCCTGTTCACCTTTTTAATGTCAATGTCAACATGAGAACTTATTGGAGGTTTACGCCATTCTCAGTAATAATACAGCCACAATGCAGTAGTCAACAAACCAAGCCTGGTAAACCACAGGTCGACAGTGACAGCATCACACATCTGTACATTAACAGAGATAACCCCTAAGACTTTCAATGAAGCCATCTTAATTACCAACTCCACATTTAATGACAAGCATGTGGTACATCCGTGGACCGCAAAATGAGATCAATGAGAGAACGTGGGTACAACTTACATGGCAACACAGAGTAGTGGAGAAACTGGCCCATCTTCCTCACTGCTGGATGATGTGTTGGCGTCTGCTCCGTGCTTCAGCTGAATTAGGAGACAAAACACTAAAGGCAAAGAGTAGATAACACTACAGTAGCAATTCAATAATCCCCAGGCTGTAACTTTTCAAGCAGACCAGAAAAAACAGTGATAGTGCACATGGTGCAAGGAAAGATCCACAGGTCAAGGTGAAATGGTATTTCCTGGTTTGCCAGGAATTCACTGCCATTGTGAACAAAAATTTAAACAAGTAAACCTGACACACTTATAGGTCATTGTGCAAAATCATAGAATAATCAACCATAGTTTAAGTCAGAGAAGTCACTGCCATTACATGATTTTTCCATTACAGACACCAACCAAATAAAGAACTATTCCGATACAGTCGTAGGGACCTACTCTGCCCTGCAATCTCAGGTTAGCACTTTTAACAAAACATATCCAAAAGTCAAATCCCTGTAGCTGTTCATGTCCTACCAAAACAAAATTACCACTCAGAGCTACTTCTATAGTTTTTTGAAAAATTCAGAAAAGGAGACAAAACATTTTTGGCACTCACGCTAATAATAAGTAAAAACTACCCTTCTGTATATTGAAGACCATCTTCCCGAGGCAAGGGCTTTAGCTGACTATGAAAGTCCAGTTTTCAGCCTAGTTCGGCAAGGGTGGAAACTTGACTTTTATAGTCAGTCAACGCCCTTTCCTCGGGAAGACGTATGCCATGGTTACACAGCAGCAGGAGAGCAGACAGGGGGCTACTGTTTGTAGACAACAGATGAGAAACAACATACCAGTAGGCTGACCACATCGGACTTCCCAGCCTCCACAGCTGCCGCCAGTGGGGTTTGGTCCTCAATGTTCTTCACTTCTAGCTTGGGTTTGTATTTGAGGATAAGCTCCAGGCCAGGAAACTGCACCTTGACACCACCCCGGTCAACGACCGGTTCCCCCGAGACCTTGACCATCATGTGTAGGGGGGAGGATTTACCTGCAGTACCACATACATGAGTGAGTGCATACGGTTTGGGGAAGGAATAAGACACAGTATATCAGTTGTTTGTTGTTAAACGTTAAAAAAACAACCTATAGGCTTGACTCTGAGCGAGTCTGGTTTAACGCCGGTTTTAACAGTATTCCAGTTATATCATGGCGTGTCAGCTTAATGTGGGAGGAAAGCCTGAAGTGATGCAGGTCTCAGATGTTTACCACTTCGGTGAAACCCACGAGCACAGGTATGGTGCTGACAAACCTAGAAACATAATCGGGGCGAACCGGGATTCGAACCCACAATCATAGGTTTCTGGCGAGCCCAAGTGACGCAACTCTGCACAGCAAATCGCAGCGCCTTAGATGACTGGGCCATCTGTGCCCCCGGCTTGACTCAGAAAGTAAATTAGCTCGTAATTGTGTTTCGGAAATTAGCTCCGTTGTACACAAGATACAAAAGCTTTATTGGGTATTTACGTGTGCTGTTTTTATACATTGGAGTTTTTCATTAAATGCATGCGTTTCTGTACGCAAGTTAATTGAAAGTGATTGGGTTTTGAATATTTTTGGGGAGTATTTTACGCAAATAGGCAGCTTCTCTGTAGCTCTGCACAGCGCTACCACTGTGATTGTAGCGCTAGGATTCAAACCCACATCAGTGAAACAGTGTTGCATGACTCTGGACCACAGCCACCCATAAAAATAAGACAACAACAATGGCTTTAACATAAACAATCCCAATTGACCTTAAGGCAAACTCAACCATACCTTCTTCGCAGTACTGATCTCTTTCTTTCACTGGCATCTTCCCATCAAAATGCATCCTCTCAACAGTCTTGTTAATGTCCGATCCGGCCATATCCACCATTGTACGAATGAAGTCACGTCCCTGTTGGTAAATCTTTTCCAGCTGAGCCAGAGACCAATTCCCATCATTCTGTAAAAATAAATAAAACACAAGTCAAACTCACTGAAACTTCAGTGGCTACGAGCTGTTTACAACAGAGACAGGAACATTCCCAACACTACAGGTCCACAGTTCCATATGTACGTCGGAAGTCTGTAATAATCAGAGCTCCAGATAAGCTTTTGGTGTTGTGGGTATTTTACCCATGCATTTTAAAATCATTGGGTATCAGTAATTCTATCTGGGTATTCAAATTTCTGTTACCCACTAGTTTTCACACATGTGGGTATTTAAGATAAATATTTAAAAACACTATTCATCTAGTCCCTGCAAACTGGTGTCGTGCGGGTTCGAGAGCTTTATAGGACTAAAAAATACTACGATACTTCCAAAAGAGAGTGTGATGGCAAATGATCATGATGTAACTGTCATCGTGGAGTTTGGCAAGGTTGACGGAATGCCCGTTTATAGTTTCAAAATAAGTTGCTTATTTGCTAATCAATAAGCAGGGTTACTTCACAATATTTTGATGATACACACAAGTTTTATTTTTGTAGCATATCTGTAATGTTTGTTGCATATTTTATACGCTTGGATTTTATTTTACTGCGTATTTCTGCATTTCTGATGCGTATTTTACGCAGATACGCAGCTTATCTGGAGCTCTGAATAATTGACCTCCAATCAGCTCCAGATACAACAAAGTGGAAATAGAGAAATGATAACTATCAGGAAAAAAAAATTCATCTTGATGTTGTACAAACAGACTATACTGGGGGAATATGGGGATTCCACCACCCAAGGGACGCAACTCTGAACAGCTAACATCAAAGTGCAAGTCAAATGTGTTTGCAGTTCATTCTTGTACGCTTAACCATATGTTTGTTTGTTTGTTTGTTTGTTTGTTGTTTAACGCCGTATTTAGCAATATTCAAGTTAATTGACGACAGTCTGTAAATAATTGAGTCTGGACTAGACAATCCAGTGATTGACATCAAGAGCATCGATCTAAGCAATTGGGATACGATGACATGCATCAACTAAATCAGCGAGCCTAGCCACCCAATCCCGTTAGTAGCCTCTTACGACAAGCATAGTCGCCTGTTACAGCAAGCATGGGTTGCCGAAGACCTCTTCTACCCCTGATCTTCACGGGTTTCTTAACCATATGACGATGGTGAATCAATAATCGATATGACGGCCGTGAATCAAAAATCGAGTCTGGTTCAGACAATCAAGTGAGTGACATCATGAGCATCAATCTAAGCATTTGTTTGTTTGTTGTTTAATGCTACACTCAGCAATATTCCTGCTATATGACATCATAAGCATCGATCTAAGCAATAGGAATACGATGACATGCATCAACCAAGTCAGCTAGCCTAACCACCCAATCCCTTTAGTCGCCTTTTACGGAAAGCATGGGTTGCTGAAGACCTATTCTAACCCGGATCTTTACGGGGCTGATCTACGCAGTTGAAATACGATGACATGCTATCAGAAAGTCACCGAGCTTGACCCCCTGATCCATTTAATCATAGGTTCCTGTGGAATTGTATATTCTTACCAAGAATCACCATAGGTTTGTGTGTTTGAGGTAGAAATTAAAGTCCCAGACTCCTAAACATTCAAAAATTTAGTTCCTACCTCATATTCCTTGTAGGTATGACAAGCTCTGAGCAGAGGGGTCATTCCGTCTTGGTCAACAGCCACAGCCATCTTCTTGAGAATGTTTTCCTCCACTGTCTCCTCCTGCATAGGTTCATCCTCGATCTCGCCATTCACCTTCTCCACCTGCTCTGCAGGCTTCTTCTCCACCTTTTCTCCATTCAGCTCAGCTGTCTTTTCGTCGTTCACTTCGGCTGATTTGCCGTCACTGTTTCTCGTCTGCTCATCCACCTCCATAGCCTCATCCTTCTTCTGGGAGATTGGGGCATCAACTTTCTTAGGTTTCCGGGCAGATCGGGCTTTCTATAAAAGATATTATCTCCCTGTACACTTGATGAAAAACTAACTAATACAAAGAATGGAGGGACCAGATTCAATTCAAAACTACAATGTGCTTTTACTCACAAAAACAGATGCCTCCCCCATCCCTTTTTTATTAATACATTATTACTTGTTATCATAATGTGTTTGCAAATACAAACAAGAGTCATCAAAAGATGACAAATTCCCCTGGCCCCAAAGGTAGCTAAAGCAGCCCCTATTAAAGTGAGAATGAGTGAGTGAGTATGGTTTCACGCCGCTTTTAGCAATATTCCAGCAATATCACGGCGGGGGACACCGGAAATGGGCTTCACACATTGTACCCATGTCGGGAATCGAACCCGGGTCTTCGGCGTGATGAGTGAACGCTTTAACCACTAGGCTACCCGACCGCCCAAAGTGAGAATGAAAAGCTATGAACCAACCAGTGATAACGACAAACAGGAAATGGTTAATGGTTTCAACTGAAAATAGGTTAGTTTGTAAAACTGTAGGTGAAAACACTGGTTTCTGTTTAAAGAAAAATATTTTCATGCAGGAGTGTTTTACAGATGCCAGACATTCTGAGAGTCAAATATATGTTTCTTTCTTATCCAACTCAACATTGCTCAAAGCCATTTGTCTCAACAACAATCTATTGTACACAATTCACCACTACACCTTCATAAAGTCAGAAGACAGTCATCTCCCATGGACATACCTGATCTGCCAGGATCTCAACCAGTGGAGCCAGGTCGGTGGACATGCACTGGGCAGCCATCATGTGGAGGACGTTCTGGTGCGTGTTGGGGTTCTTCTCCGGCGACACTGAACCGCCCTTCTCTACCAGGAAGTGCACCAGCTTCGAGTTCAGCTGCATACCAACATTAGGAATGTAGTGAGGGAGAGTGAATTATATATAATGCTGGGGTGCATGAACACATACTGGTGCAGTACAAGAGTCAGGATTTGTAGTACCACAATACAAATACTGCATTGTTAGTACAATGCAAGGGCAAGCAATATGAAAATTAATTGTTAAAATATCACTTCATTTTCCCTTTTATTGAAAGTTTAATTTGTTAAAGAGTGCGAGTTTATCTACTAGGACTGGTACGATCCACAAACTGTGCAGTCTGATACGTACACTTCACACCACTTTCAGCAATATTCCAGCAATATCACAGTGGGGGACACCAGAAATGGGCTTCACACATTGTACCCATGTTGGGAATCGAACCCGGGTCTTCGGCGTGACGAGCGAACGCTTTAACCACTAGGCTACCAGACCGCCCCTCAATATGTCAGGGGTCACATGGGACAACTTTGCCCTTTGAGTAACTTTTCAGAAACGCGAGTCTTACAAGGTCAAATAAAGCTCCTTGAGGGTTGATATCCCACAGGGTTAGAAATTCATTGGTAATTCACCAGTCTGCAAAAACAATCAATTAGAGAGCTGCCATCTACCTAATCGCTAAAGTGGTAGTCCACAAGGAAATGTCACTAGTCCTTCCTGAAGTATACTAGTCTCAGGCTAACATCCCTATGTTAATTTCGGACCCTGTTATAGAGATTTATTTTGGGGGACCCTGTCATCTTTCAGTGTAACCTTGTAAAAAACCTTGAACAACTTGATTTTCAATTGTGTTCTCCCGACAGCCAGAGTATTTCTCACCTGTTCTATAGCCAGTGTAATTGGTGTCCAGCCATCATTGGTCGCCTGTGAGGGATCACAGCCCGCTTTAATCAGAGATTCTGCTATCTTCACAGTTGTTTCCATGGAGCTGTCACTTACTTCATCTCTCTAAACACAAAACACACCATTTTTATAATAGTCACAAAGATCCCACAATTCATTAGCAGCAATAAAAATATAGCGTAAAATGTGAGTCTACTGTCATCAAAATGCTTACAGCACTATGTGCGTATGTTTTTGGTATCACCACACTCAACAATATTCCAGGTATACGACAGCTGTCTGTAAATAATTGGGTCTGGGCCAGACCATCCAGTGATGGACATTGTGAGCATCTATCCACGCCATCAGGGCAACCAACTTCAGGAAGTGTACTTAAGAGTTATACAGACACACTTTGTTAGTTTGTTTGTTGTTTGCCGCACTTCGCAACATGTCTGATATATGATGGCAGTCTGTAATTATTTGAGTCTGGACCACACAATCATGAGCATCGATCCACTCAATTGGGATCCCGTTAGTAGCCTGTGACAACAAGCATAGTCGCCTCTTACGACAAGCATAGGTTGCTGAAGACCTCCTTTAACCCGGATCTTCAAGGGTCAGACAAACTTTAAAAACACAACTTTCAGGTATCCATGTAGGTGGTGAAATGGGGTTTAACGTCGTGTTAAAGATTTTGCACTAAAATAGCTACGATTATGAATGTGTGTGTGGAAGCTTGTACTAGTCCGAGTCCTTGTTTTAGCTCCTTGATGCCAAGCGTCAGGCAGGGTAACAACAAGTACAATCTTTTATCGTCTTTTGGTATGACGTGGCCATAGATCCAACCCGCGGATATGGTACCACAAGACCAAGACAAGGGAGGCAATCCTGTCATGCAGAAGTCATCTTATACCAGTTATTTTGTCTCTTTAAGTGATTACAATCAAAGAATGTGTAGAATCATGAAAACATTTGCTCATTTGGCAGCCATGTGTCTCTGATCATGAGATACATTTACCATAATTTGGAGTTTGCTTATTAGTCAAAGTTATCAATCACATGACCAAAACCTATCCAACACTTATGGCATCTGTGGCCCTGAGTTTGTCATAATGACATTACAATACAAAAGTACATGCAGGACACTGAATAAGCATTTCCTACTTGAAGAATTTCCTAATGTTTTAAAAGAAGTGAGAGTCCAATTTTCAACTTACATAATAATTCTGAGAAACCTTAATGCTGTTGGCAGCTAAGTGATGCAGCTGAAACAAAACATCAAAAGTCATGAATAAGTGAGTTTTGTTTGTTTGCTGTTTAACGCCGCACACAGCAGTATTCCAGCTATATGACGGCGGTCTGTAAATAATCGAGTCTGGACCAGACAATCCAGTGACTGACATCATGGGCATCGATCTACGCAATTGGGACATGATGACATGCCCAAACCAAGTAAGCGAGCCTGACCACCCGATCCTGTTAGTCGCCTCTTACGACAAGCATAGTCGCCCTTTACGGCAAGCATGGGTTACTGAAGACCTATTCTAACCATGGATCTTCATGGGTCCAATGAGTAAGTGAGCGAGCCTGAGTTTTGAACCTATTATCAGATTCTGGCAGGACAAAGTGACACAACTGCGCAGCGAGCAGCGAATGGTAGCGATGACTAATCTACTTGTTCAACCTAAACAGTTAGTGAGTGAGTTGAGTTTTAACGCCGCTTTGAACACTATTCAGCATTAGAAATTGGCACAAGTCCCATTGTCCTTGCCAAACTGCCCAATAGTTAATGAATCATAAGGACTAGTAGAAACTTGCCATTATTAAGGGTTCCGCAATATGTCAAAAAAAATATTAAAATGTTAAAATTCTAGCACTAAGGATGACTAAAACAGTAAGTTTCTATAGTAAGGTTGACAATGTAGGACTGACAAAAAAGGTCATGCACCACATTGGCAGGGATGAGAATGGATATCTTCCTTTTCAGCTGAAATGTCTTTTCAATGGAGCATGATCCATAATTTGGGGGTGTTTATGGACCCCCCCCCCCCCCCCCCCATGAATCCATCAGATTTTAACAAATTTGTGGTCACTAAAATTCGCAGATCCGCGGAAGATTCTCACCCCAGCATTGGGTACACTACAGTAGGAGGCAAAAATAGCATTTCTAGGGAATAGTGCTTTTGAAATGGAGAAAATTGCCTAGTGCTGAACTTACAGCATTCCTGCCCTCCAGGTCTGTGATGGTGGGATCAGCCTTCTTGTCATTCACCAAGTACTCCACCTGGCGGACTAGTGCACTGGTAATCTTGCTCCGCACGGCAATACTTGTCAAGGTCAAACCTAATACAACAAGAAGTCATAGTAAGCAGTCAGATCATGTCCAACCAAACAAAAAAAGGTCAAAAAATTTTGTAAGTTGTTGCAATGTATTCCTTCAACGCTCTCAAATGCTACTCCAAGCTGACCACCCAATTCATTTAGTTGTTTTTTACGACCAGCATAGGACGCTGGGGACCTATTCTTATCCGGAATCAGCCAGGCAGTCTGAGGCAATGGATGTGCAAGAACTTCAAATATCCAAGGGTTCTAAGGTCACATGCATACAAATTGCTAATGAGCACTGCCAATTTGCACTGTCAAAGTCAACGGCAAGAATAATATCCATTGTTCGAAGTAAGCAATTTGAAGTTTTTTAGTTTAGAATATTGATCCGACCAAAAAATTGAATTTTATGAAAGTTCTATGCAAGTATTAGACACAGAACTGACCACTTTCATCCTTGAAGTTGATGTCCACCCCAGGCTGGTTCAGGAGGAGCTCCACCATGCCCATGTTGTTCTTCAGGAAAGCTATGGCCAAAGGAGTGCACTGAAAACAACACAGCGTGATCTTCAGAAATGGACACACAAATCACAAATAACTAAAGCAATGGTATTCACATATTTGTCGGTGATTTGTCTTACCTAGATGTAACCCTAATTAGAGCTTTGGAATTATGAGTGGGGTAAAAAAGCTCAATTCCATGTGAAAAAAGTACTGCTAACAGTACGACGCAGGTTTTCGCTTCAACATTTTCGCCTTGTTCAGAAAATGATATTTAGAATATGATATGCAGCATATTTTGGGAAAAGGGGACAACTCCATGATAAACTTGCTTGAGAGAATTTTTGAGTGAGTGAGTGAGTGAGCGAGCATGGTTTGATGCCGCTTTTAGCAATATACCAGCAATATCATGGCGGGGGAAATCAGAAATGGGCTTCAGGCATTGTATCGAACCCATGTCTCCTGCGTGACGAGCGAACGCTTTAACCACTAGGCTACACGTCCGCCCGAACTTTTATAAGGACATTTTGGACGACTGTCAGTCAATGTCCTAGAAGACATATTGATCTGAAACCCTGATGGCCACCATTTCCAATACGGTGGCTGCAGATGTAACGGAGGTAGTCCTTATCTATACAAAAAGGCTACATGGGCAACTTACATTCCAGCTGTTGGGCACAGCTGTATCAGCACCAGCATCATTGATGAGCATCCGGAGACAGAAGTACCAGCCATACGCGGCAGCATAGTGGACGAGGGTGTTGCCGGACGAATCGGCACGGTTTGGATCGGCCCCCAGGTATAGTAGGTAGGATGCTACATGACTGTTTCCATTTATAACTGCATGGGTCAAGGCTGAACGCTTAAACTTGTCTGAAAAAAACCCAAAGGTAGTGATTATGAACTGGAGCAAATCTCAACTGGGTGGACTGCAAAGTTTACTTTTTTAGCTGAAAACAATAGAAGATTGTTGGTTTGTCCGTCTGTCTGTTTGTTTGTTTGTTTAACACCGGACTCAGCAATATTTCAGCTATATGACAGCGGTTTGTATATAATAGAATATGGACCAGACAATCCAGTGATTGACATCATGAACATCAATCCACACAATTTGGATACAATGATATGCATCTGAAGTCAGTAAGCCTGACCACCCGATCCTGTTAGTCGCCTCTTACGAAAGAATTGTTGCCTTTTACAGCAAACATGGATGGGTGAAGACCTATTGTACCCCGGATCTTCACGGGTTTAGAAGATTGCTGTATATCAACACTGGAACTGTCAAGACTTACCACCAAAGGTCGCTTTTAGGCATATTCACTATAAGAAGTATTTTTTTGTTTGGTGTTTAATGCTGCACTCAGCAATATTCCAGCTATTTCAAAGCAGCCAGTAAATGATCAAACCTGACAAACCAGTGATTGATAAGCAACTTCTCATATCATTGGGGTATGATGACATGTCATTGAGTAAGTTGGGTTTAACACCACTTTGAACAGTGTTCAAGTTATATCATGACCTGGCAGCTTAATGTTGGATACATTAGTTCAAGTTGTTACTGTAAATGTGTTTGCAAACCCGAAAAACAATATGAGCAAATTATAGCCTGGTAAGATAATGGTTACATGCAGAAATATTCATTAGCTGTAGAGTTTGGGCGGGAAACAAATGTTACTGGTTTGACATTTTGTCCAATAGTTCCCATGAAAACACAACAAATTTGTAAAAAGAAAATTGAAAAATATCAAAAGGCAATAGTTGTGGTTATTGCACATGTATAGTTTCATGCAGAAGTATCATTAGTTGAGAGTTATGGCTCGGAAACGCTGCTGTTCGAGAACAAGACCTAAATGTTTCAAAGGAAATGTAACAAAATAAAATTTAGAAATATGGCAAAATAGCAAAAGGCACTAGTTAAGCTGATGTGCAATACATATGCAAAGTTTTGTTGAAAAACGTTTGAGAACTAAGTCGAGAAATTGTTTCCATGGAACGATAACAAACATAAAATGTAGAATAATTTCAAAGGCACGCATGCACGCACACACACCTTTCAGCAGTGTTTAGTAAGTAAAAACAAGTGAATTACTAAACTGTAATCTGTGGGTGTGTTGTCTGAGGCTGCACTAAACTTCGCCCTTTTTAATATCCCACAACTCATTAGCAGCATTAGATATATAGTGTAATGTGTGAGTCAACTTTTACTCTCTGTGTGTGTGTGTGTGTGTGTGTGTGTGTGTGTGTGTGTGTGTGTGTGTGTGTGTGTGTGTGTGTGTGTGTGTGTGTGTGTTTGTGTGTGTGTGTGTGTGTGTGTTGTTGTTTTTTGTGTGTGTAACAGTATTTCATCTACAGGACAGCGGCCTGGGACTAACAAACAATTCATTGATAATATGACCAACAATCCATACAATAACACGCAAGACACCAAGTCATCAAGCCTGACCTCCCGATCAATCTACTCACTTTGTATGGTACTAACAACAGAGTTGCCACAACATGTAAACCTGTGGATTCCACAGCCTGGCATGATCTGGCTGACACACAAGCATTAAGAAACTCACCCAACAGTTCCACTGTGGCCCCATTCTGCACTAGAAGGCGTGCTACATCCAGGTTGCCAGTCTCAGCTGCCATCATCAAGGGACTCTTCTTCTCTTTGCCAGCAGAGACCTGCTTGTTGAGGTCAGCACCATGTTTGATGAGAACTTTGACCACATCCTGCAAAACACACGAGTCCTTCCATGAGTAGGAAACATGATCTCTAATTGACATATAAGAAGCCGGGTGGAAATTAGGAATAATCAGATGTGCCCAAGGGCACTGGGCCTGTTTTTTCAGGTTTAGGTGTGCCTTGTCTTTATTACCTCCTAATTATAACAAATGGTGATCATCTGCTCAACAATCATCATGAATAATCACTTCTGTTTGATACGCAAAACTTAAATAATGTTTGTGATATTCCGTCAATAAATGGAAAGACGCGATTACATTAAAATGTGTTTTGTGCAATCTTGAACATTTCGTCAAATGCTGTATGATACAGTCAACAGAAATCACCGAACAATGCCGATTAATTTCACAAGAGGAGGTCGTTGATTTTCACAACAGGAAGCGATTTTGGCACACGCAACTAATAGACAAAACACTTTCGATTCACAGTCTTATTTGTCAAGACATGAAATGAAAATGAATGCCAGTACTAAGTACTTTTAATGAAAATGCCCATGCCCACAAGGCACTGTACATAAAAGTCAAGCTTGCCATTTCCCATTTAACTCAACTAACAACAAATTCATCATGAACATCAATTACCCTTAATGTCCTAGACTATGTTTGATTATGAACTACCCATGAATATTCATAATGTGTAAGGCAATCTACTGTGGTGGTGTTTGTACAACTTAGTCAAATACAATTCATACCCCACACTTCAAACTCGCCCTGGGACAAAGAAATAGCTGTACATAACTAGGTATATAATAAATACCTGTACATAACTAGGTATATAATTTCAGAATTGCTGATGGTCATGTTCAAGTCCTGTCTGTATTTTCAATCACTTTAGCAATATCGAGGGGGGATAAGACAGGACCTGTAACAGCGACCTATGTCAGTGCGTATGATGACAGGATTTCTCATGACACCTGACAGGGGGTTATATATTTGTTGACACACGTTTATATGCACAATGCAGCCTTTCAAATGACGCAAAAGCTATGCATCACATGCACTGACCTGTCACTGTTTTGGGTTGCGTTTTCACCCCTTGACAAGGTGTGCGAAAAAGAGATTGAAAATACAGATGGCTTACACACAGAATTTTCACATGATCAACAATTCTGAAATCTTATATCTAGTTATGTACGGGTATTTCTGTTTTTCTCTTCTTTTTTCTTTCTTTTATTGTTTATACAAAGAAGTACCTGTTACATAAAACAGACTTGAAACCCACAAAGCCTGCAGCATGAAAATGATATTTGACAACGTTTTATCAGTAAACTAAGGATTTTTTATATACAGGTACTCCTTAGTCCCATGGCAAGTTTGAAGAGTTTGGCATGAACAGTATTTGATTGAATTGCACAAACACCAAAACACAAAATCACCTTCCACGCTATTGTCTCATGAAATCTCCACCATTCCCATGTGGTGGTGTTTGTACGGAAGTGGCAACTCCGTCAACAACCCAGGGAGGTGACCTGTCCCTGTTTCAGCCCCTTAATGCCAAGGGCCTAGACAGGGTAACAAAAAGCACCATCTTTTAACGTCTTTTGGTATGACGTGGGCGGGGATAGAACCCCGACCTGCCGCTCTCCAGGCAGACGCTCTACCACTAGACCACAGAGGCGGTCAACAACCGATGTAGGACAACTGACTTACCGAGTGCCCATTGAGGATGGCCATATGTATGGGGCAGAATGAGTTTCTGTTTGGCCGATTCACCCCTCCGATGCCCCACTTGTTCATCCCAACATCATTCAACACACTGGCTGAAAACACAAAACAAATTCAATATCAACTTTCTGTTACCTGAAATGAAATCGACATGTTTTACCACTTGTCCTGTTTCCCACTTTACAAATTTTATGTCGAGTCAGAACACATAGAAACGATTTCTTGCAATAGATTACTCGAAAAATGTCCACGGTTGAAAAGCATCCGACTGTTGTGATTACAATTTGGCAATTATTATGCAATAACCAGACAATTTACAGGGCCATTTATTTATAATGATAACAGAACGCAAGTGACAGCTCGAACAGCTTCTGGCACTGACTGTACCATGCTGTGTACCAGCCAGCAACTGCTCGAAGGGGAGTAAGTGAGTGAGTTGGTTTAACGCCACTTTTAACAGTATTCCAGTTATATCGCGGCGTGTCAGCTTAATGTGGGAGGAAAGCCCGAAGTGATGCAGGTCTCAGCCATTTACCACTTCGGTGAAACCCACGAGCACAGGTATGGTGCTGACAAATCTAGAAACATAATCGGGGCGAACCGGGATTCGAACCCACAATCATAGGTTTCTGGCCTGACCAAGGGACGCAACTCTGCACAGCGAATCGCAGCGCCTTAGACGACTGGGCCACCCGTGCCCCCGCTCGAAGGGGAATCATTGGCGCGAGTTATAAACATGGTCCAAGAACATGACATTTACAGACATGGGACACTCAAAGGAACCTTGTATCATGCTGCAATAACAAATGACTCGGGTAATAATGCACCCGACAAAATGATCCCTCACTTGTCTGTCAGAGAACACGTCTTTAAACATACACTGTACATAGTACATCTAGATTCAGTGTGTTAAAAAAGTGCCTATCTGGCCCGAGGCAGGTAGATTTCGTGTCGGCCTGTACTTTCAAATATGTATTGGTCAGTGTTTGAAATAATTTTAATACCCAACAAGACAGTCAAGCAGGTCACCTATCAGTGTTGCCTGCCCATCTTCAATGTTACCTGCCCGCTTTCTGACATTATAAATATTTAAAAAATGCAAAAATAAGACACAAAATGCGTCTTGATTCAGTTAAAGTAATGCTAACAAAAACTTGGGAATCTAAAGGAGGTATAATAAAACTGAAACCGTAAGTCGTCTTAAAGTTATCTGCAAGACAGTCGTGCAAGTGGAGGAAAATGTCAGAATAGTTACCAGCCACGGACATTGGTATGGGTCCTTAAGGCCTGCAATAAATTTGTGTCTCGAATTCACACCCATGATCATAGGTTTCTGGTGTGCCCAAGGGACACAACTCTGCACAGCGATTTGTAAATGGTCCACAAGATGATTGCAGGCACTCCAAAATGAGTCAGCTAACTTTAACATCACAAAAGTAAAGAGTCTTATCCAGAGTTGTACTTCAAATACCCACCATCATTTTTAGCCCTCTTCAGCAGGACGTCGACGTTGCTAGCCCGGCCAGCTCGACAAGCACAATGAAGTGCTGTGTTCCCCTCATTATCAGCCTCATTGATAGTGGCGCCTCTGGAAAACACATAAAAACACTTTGTAAGCAAAGGGTCAAAATCAGGATGACACACCAGTCCCTGGCACTGTAAAGGGACACAACTCTGCATGGAGAAAGGGGCAACAGAGAGCATTGGGCCACCGTCCCCCTTGGTCTAAATAAGCTTTAATCCAGTTTTTCTTAACACCATTGTTGTGACAACACCGTAACTGTAAACAAAGGTTGAATAAAATCAAAGGTTATCAACTACAAATATTTATGCAAACTTTTGGTACATGGAGATCTCTGGACCTCCCAACATTTCAGCAGTGTTAGAAATTGGCACTAGTCCTCGCCAAACTGCCCAATACTTGGTATGAGTTGAGTGAGTGAGTGAGTGAGTGAGAGTGAATGAGTGAGAGCAAGCACGGTTTTACACCGCTTTTAGCAATATTCCAACAATATCACTAGGGTACCCGATTGACCCCATAAGGACTGGTAGAAATTTGCCTTTTTCAAGGTTTTGCAAAATGTTAGCGTCATAAGGACTACTGGAATGAAGATGTTACTTTCTATCGCTGTTCGCTGTATGATCGCTATTTAAGAAAGGAGATTAATGGCCTCTTACCTCTCCAGCAATAGATCCAGTGGTCCTGTCCCCTGACAGACTGCAGCGAAGTGGATGGGCCTTCTGTTCCGCTTGTCAAAGAGGCTGATATCGGGCTCTATTTGCAGCAGACGAGACAGGTACTTCACATTGGGGTTGATGGCAGCACAGTGCAGGGGCGTGATCTGAAACAGACATTGGCATACCACAGTTGAATACTTGTTGAATCTCAACCAAGGAAAGCAACACCTTGGCAAAGTCTTCAAACTACTCAGTGACACGTATTATTTTGTTTGTTGTTTAATGCTGCATTCAGCAATATTCCAGCTTTACGATGGCAGTCTGTAAATAATCGAGTCTGGACCACACAATCCAGTGATTAATGGCATGAGCATCAATCCAGGCAATTGGGATTGATGACATGCATCAACCAAGTCAGAGAGCCTTGACCACCCAATCCTGTTCGTGGCCTCTTACGACAAGCATAGTCGCCTTTTATGGCACGCATGGGTTGCTGAAGACCTGTTCTACACCGGATCTTCACGGGTCAAGTGGTCACAACAAAGGCTACTTACCCCTTCATTGCCGTATGGCTTCTTTCTCACGGATGCAGACAGAATATTGCTTCGTAAATCCTCTTTTTCAAAATTGAGCACCTGTAAAATGCAGAAACATCTTTCATAGGTACATTTGTTTGTTTGCTTGTTGCTTTATGCAAGCACTAAGCAATATTTCAGCTATATCGGCGGTCTGTAAATAATCAAGTATGGACCAGACAATCCAGTGATTGACATCATGAGCATCGATCCACACAATTGGGAAATGATGACATGCATCAACCAAATAAGGGAGCCTGTCCACCCGACCCTTATGTTCTCCATAATATTACCTACCTATGAGACCAATGAAGATCTGGTTAGAGAATAGGTCTTCAGCAACCCATGATTGCCTTAGACCTATTCTCTAACCAGATCTTCATTGTTCTCAAAGGTACGTAATTTTACGGAGAACATAAGGACATACTTTATTCATGTCAGGGCTACATTTGACAATACTGAAACAAAGTAGCAAATGGCAAAGAATCACATTAAAAGAGACTTAATTACTATCGGTAGTTGAAACTACATGTCTTATTCATACAAGTGAGTGAGTTTTTAAACTTGGAACAGTATTTTAGACATAGCAGTCAGTTTAATGTGGGAGGAATTGATCTCGATTCAGTTTGTTTCTAGAGCATAATAAATAGGAGTCTGATAACTCACATCAGCAACGAAACTTACCTCTGAATGAAGGTAATTGAAGCCAAGTCCCCCTCGTTTCTCTGCATCTGCCACCAACTTAGCAGCAATCTTCCTATTGCCCAACGTTATGGCTCTATAGATGTTCTCCAGCAGAGTGTTCATCTATAACATAGCAACGCATCACTGTACGTCCGTCGACAAAATCACCACAGCATGACGTCTGGACATTACTTGGGTAATGGTTTATATAGCAGCGTGCATGAACAGACTTGTCCTTGTCTTATTCCCTTAATGCCGAGTGCCAGGCAGGGCAACAACAAATACCATCTTTTAACGTCTTTTGGTACGATGCAGCCGGGGATTAAACCACCGACCTTCGGCTCTTTCCACTAGGGGCATGGGGGGCGGTCAGTTGTGTTGGAACTATATTCTTCACATATTAACTTATCTTTATGAAAAGAAATAATAATTAAACAAGAAAACTGCATAATCATTATTCGACACCATGAGGCACATTATAATTTTGTTTGTAGCAAGCACCAAAAAGATTATTAAACTAACAGCAGGGAGGTAGGCTGGTTAGGGTGCCACTTGTAACTTGCGGGATTTTTGTTTTACCATTCACCATATTTCTTGTACATGTTCCTTTGTCTAGTGTTATACATTTCAATTAGGTAATTATAGTTTCTCAGATAACCCTGCGTAGATCTTTTTGTTAATATGGGTATATGAAAACAAATTATGGATACATGATCTATCTGGTTTTTAAGTTACGCTCTGGTAATGAAAGTAACATGTATTTGGGTTTAGTCCAACTTGTTGCCATGGAAACAGCAAAAGGCACCAGTTTAGCATGTGTTTGATATATACGCAAATTTTCGTAATAAAATATTAAATGGTTTCAGAGTTATGCTCCGGAAACAAAACATAACAGGCGGAGGGACGATGACAAATGGACAGACAGACATCACACAATCCTGTTATCAACCTCCCACTTTGTGGTTGATGATAGTAATCACTAAGGTTACATACTTCACAGTAAGTGAGTGAATATTGACTAATGCCAGTCAACAAGTTTCCAGCCAATCATGGTGGCCTGTAATAGAAATGAATCTGGACCAGACAACCACTGACTGTAAGCACGAGCAACAATGACCAACAGTTCATTCTGAGAAAAGCTGTTGCCTCATCAAAATCAGATCTATTACACTGATACTCTCTGCATCAAGATCTGAGGACCTCCAAAGAAAGATGTGTCAGGCAAATCCTGAGCAAACTTTCACCTCCAAAGTCAAACCAAGAAGACAAAGTCATCTACCGGTATATACCCTGTCCATTGTCCAATCTTAAAGACAATGATATGCGCAATCAAATGTGACATTTCTTCCATTCAGTTCAGAGTTGAAGTCCAAACTTTAAAAAATTATATAGAAAATATTAAAAATGCATGGGAATCTAAATAGCAAAGGGCACATCTACACCATATGGTGATAATAAAGTATGTGTGGTTTCTTGAAACATCAGCTTTCTCAAACAATTTGGTTTGGTTTCTTTACCGCCCTTTTTTCAAATTGTTTTACCTCTGCCAAAGAAAACCGCCACAGAACACAAATATGCCCTCCATAGTAACCCTTTGGGGATACATGCCACAGCACTCACAAATGACATGATACATTAATATCCACAACAAAATTATTTCACATTCCTTGATCATATTTGTTTGAGATAAAGAAATCTGATCTTGTCTGACTGTTTCACTTTTTCATATAGAGAATTTAGAAGCTTTGATTGGCCACTTAGACAGTTCACCTGATCCAACCTCTGATGGAGGTGTCCTCAGATTTTCACACAGCATGTCGGAGTAGTGAGTGAGTATGGTTTTACGCCGCTTTTAGCAATATTCCAGCAATATCACGGCGGGGGACACCAGAAATGGGCTTCACACATTGTACCCATGTCGGGAATCGAAGCATGTCGGAGTAAAAGATCTGATTATAATAAGATTGAAATGGCCCCTATCCAATTTCTTCTGAATGTCCAAACTACTCTGTCACATTTTCCACAACAACTAACAGGTTTTCAGGGTCAGGGTCAGGGTCAGGGTCAAGGTCAGGGTCAAGGTCAAGTATGTCTTACATGTTCCTCTCCCATTCCTTCCTCCTGGTCGGCAGCTAAGACAAGGTCAATCAAGGCAGGGTCTGCGTCATACTTGAGAAGACATTCAATCACGTAGTCCATGGACATCTCATCTGTTGTTATGTCCTGAAACAAACAGAAGGTTTCAAAATGGTAATATCTGGGTGCTAAGACGGATTTGAGGGAAGGGGAAGGTAAAATACATTCAGCAGCATGTTGAAGTGAAACAGTGTAACAAAACTGTCAATCATGTATGGAACCTCTACAAACTTGCAATATTAACATCACATGCTGTTGTAATCAACCCTTTTCCTGGATGACTGGATGGTTTCATGAAATCTGTGACCTGATTTTTGGGAGAAAAACTCATTAGACACTTCCCTCTCAAAAATAATGTCCAATCTACGAGAGCATGTTCGAATGTCCAGAAATGACTTCATGTTAGAACAATGATTTTATCGTGAAACAAAACATTGCTTCATTCTTCATTGTGATAATCGCATAGCTATATCTTTTTCTTTTTCAACATACGTACAACGGAGCTAATTTCCGAAAAACAATTATGTGCTCATTTACTTTCTGAGTCAAGCCTATATATTTAGAACAGTAATATACATTTTAAACATTATTTCATTTTTTTTAAATCTTAAAATGTTCACTAATTTGGGGGAAAACCCAATAGAGTGATAAATGGATGAGTGAAATAATATTGGTTACCCAATGAAAAATGTTATAACCCAATTAAAATAGAAAACCTTGAGTAAAAACTCAATTGTTCAAAAAGTTATCTGAAGCTCTGGACAAAGCAGTAAGTAGAATACATCTAGATGCTCACCTTGAGGAAAGCATCGTTGCCCTCGCGAGCTCCTCTGCTGACATTGAGCGCCCTGATATTCCCCACACCGAGAGACACTGGGTTGTATCTGCAACAGACATACATCACTGGAGTGAAGATAACCCCTTAAATTCAAAACAAACTATTGAAACAAGTTCAAACTTTTTAATGTATCTAATCAATTACACTATTTTCTATAATGAACAGTTTTTATCCACTAATTGTGGATAAGTTCACTTTTTATAAGTTGTTTTATAAGTTTCTATTTTAAATTCCCGTATTGGGATGAAATGAGAAGCACATGTTGCCACCCGACAACTTTTGCACAACTAAACTGAAAACCACAATGACGTGACATGTTAAGTTCATCTTGCACGTGAAACACAACATTTTCATGTCCATTTCATGTTCGTTTGGTGCGTTTTGGCGCATTGTTTTACTGTTGCATTTAGTCACACAGTCCTTCTGTCCAATCACTGACAATGTTTATCTAAAACTACAGTCAACACACAGGGTTAGGGAAGAGTAAAGTAAAAAAATCAAGATGTACTAGCAGCCGTGTGCAGCCTTAGTTTGGTGTCTGGGTTTAATAGTGATGCAGATGATTGGTACGATGACAAGCAATCTCATTAAAATCATATGTTAGTTCTCGCTACCGATAAACAAAGATCTGAGGACATCCCATTACGGTTCACGTCAGAACGACCTTTCATCCGACCAATCAGACTGTCGCTTACCAGATCATGAAAGTGACAGTCGGAATGTGATTTCTGATCATGTAACCTCGAAAACTTTAACACAGGGTATTCCAAACGATAGTTACGGGCTTAACGACTGTATCCATACAATCTAGACCATCTATTAGCCATTCCAGAATGTTCTTTTGTTCAGGTTTCCAATTTTTAATCGAGAATTTGTCAAAATTTGCTAATGTCGACTTCCTGTCAGTCATTCCATTGGTCGGTCAAAGTTTGTGCAAGGTCAGTCTGACGTGACCCATAATGGGATGTCCTCAGATCTTTGTTTAGCGGTAGCGAGAACTAAGATCTGATTTTAATGAGATTGGATGACAAGTAATCTACAAAGTCACTTAACCTGAATATGTACCGGAATCACCACAGCGGTTTGGGAAATAAGCGTGTGTATAGATTCATCCTGTCAGTGTACAATAAAAAATATGTTGCTTGGTCATTTTTATTTTATTTCAAAGCAGCCCCTGTAACCAACCAATCCCCATTTTAGACCCCCTTTGACCCTCAACCCCCTTCGTCTATCAAGACTTTCTGCCCTGACTTACTTAAGTGTTGTGTCACTGAAAGGAAAAATTTCTAATTCACCCACCTTCCGACATCGGACTCCTTCAGAAGGCAGGAGGGGCTCTCTTGTTTATGTCTCTTGTTCTCAGGGTTAAAGATGTCACTGATCAACAGCTCCAGGATGTCCTTGTTGCCTTTCTGTATGGCATAGTCAACAGCCGTCTTTTCACAGCCAATGGAACGAGTCACATCCAGCTGTTGAAAGAATATGTACCCTTCATTATTCCTGATCACACAAGGGTAACTACCACGTTATATTGATCTTGTATGACAGAAGATGAATCACAGCAAGGTGGTTTCATTAAATAGTCTTTAGATAATAGTCTTTTATGTCTCTCCGAAAAGACAATCCATTCTTAACTTTTACAAGAACTATTCAACGTTTTGTCAAAATCATGTCAATCTGAGTCAGTGAATATTCCAGGTATGTCACGACTGTTAATAATATGGTCTGGGCCAGGCAAATCAGTGACTAAAAGAATGACGTACAATCCACACCATTTTTGAGTACTACAATCCACAACATTGGGGCACTACAATCCAGATCATAGGGACACTACAATCCACACCATTAAGTGTAAAACAATCCACACCATTGGAGCACTACAATCCACACCATTGGGACACTACAATCCTCACCATTGGAGCACTACAATCCACACCATTGGGACACTACAATCCACACCATCAGGGCACTACAATCCGCACCATTGGGGTACTACAATCTACACCAGTGGGACACTACAATCCACACCATTGGGGCACTACAATCCACACTATTGGGCACTACAATCCACACTATTGGGACACTACAATCCACATCATTGGGGCACTACAATCCACACTATTGGGGCACTACAATCCACACTATTAGGGCACTACAATCCACACTATTGGGGCACTACAATCCACACCATTGGGACACTACAATCCACACTATTGGGGCACTACAATCCACACTATTGGGACACTACAAACCACACTATTGGGGCACTACAATCCACACCATTGGGGCACAACAATCCACATCATTGGGGCACTACAATCCACACTATTGGGGCACTACAATCCACAGTATTGGGACACTACAATCAACACTATTGGGGCACTACAATCTACACTATTGGAACACTACAATCCACACGATTGGGACACTATAATCCACACTATTGGGACACTACAATCAACACTATTGGGGCACTACAATCTTCACTATTGGCACACTAAAATCCACACTATTGGAACACTACAATCCACACTATTGGAACACTGCAATCCACACTATCCACACTATTGGGACACTACAATCTACACTATTGGGACACTACAATCCACACTATTGGAACACTACAATCCACACTATTGGGGCACTACAATCTACACTATTGGGACACTACAATCCACACTATTGGGGCACTACAATCCACACTATTGGGGCACTGAGGTACAATGACACACAAACTGCCAGGTCAGAGCCGACCATCAATTCCCATTTGGGGAAATAACTTCATGCGAGTCGAATCAGTACTCATCGCACAGACATGTTTCAGTCATTTAGTTAGTTCATTTCTACCTAACTGCCTGGTTACTTTCCACTGGTATGGAATGTACTGACCCTGTAGACGTCACTCTCACTGGCAATCAGAGACTTCAACAGGTCTATGTCCTTGGTCAGCACAGCACGGATCACCTGTCTACTTTTCACAGGGACTGATATGAATGGTATCTTCTCTCTGAAAACACAACAAGCAATCTCAATCTACATCAACTTTCACTTGTCATGAAAACATTTCACTTGTTATTTCTACATATTCATGCAAACACAAAAATACACAATCATACAGCATAATTTACACCTACTTGGTCTCGAAGAAAAGAGCTTTTTCAAGCACTTTGATTTTTGGATTTGGCTTCAACTTTCTATCAGGTCCCTTCTTTTTCGCTTCCTTTTTCTTTTCTTCTTTCTTTCTCTTCTCTTTTCCTTTCCCTTTTTTCTTATCTGAAAACAAAACAATATAATTGGTGACATGTGCGAGTAATATAATTATGTAAATGTATGTGTAGTAATTGGCAGCATATAATTCAACTACTACTACAAAAATATCAGATGCTATAGTGGCCAGAATTAAACAGCAATCACCAGAATGGTTCTGTCCTAGGACTAGAGTTATCTGCCCTTGTGATCCACATGACCATGGCAGGCTTGATCAGTTTCTGGAAGGGGCAGTTTCTAAGGGACTGGCTGTACATATATATAAGAGTGACAAGATGGCGATTTTTACTTGCCAAGTCCAGTTTGAATACCTATTTCAAAACACTGAATTCATTCCACAATCCAATACTATTCTGGATTCAAGAATGAGACAGGCCTGTTTCATGATATTCAACAGACAGTATCCTGAACATCCATGACAGCACTAACATTACAGGGCCTTTCACATCAGCCATAAATAACATACTCAAAGAAAAACGATATGGAAAGGGAAGTAACTCTAATTAAAATCAGTTCTAAGCAGCAAGTTTCTACATCTGTACATTTGAAATTCCCCCTACATACGGCCAGGAATCGAACCACTACACCATAGAGGCCTGTGCCAAGTGAAAATATGGTTTGGGAAAGGTAGTAACAAATTGTGCAGAATAAACAAGAATTACTTGGTCATGTAATGTTGAGTGTTAGCCTACCTTTATCTTTCCTTTGAGACTGCCTCTTTTTACCTGGGAACATTGAACACACTGAGTGAGTGAGTGAGTGAGTGAGTGAGTGAGTGAGTGAGTGAGTGAGTGAGTGAGTGAGTGAGTGAGTGAGTGAGTGAGTGAGTGAGTGAGTGAGTGACATATTACACAAAATATCATGCCAGTTTTTAGATACATATCTATATCCTATTGTCAAAATTCATTCAACAGCTGTGTCACAGCATGGGGTATTGGGACGTTTTGAAACTGTATCCCTGACAGAACGATGTATGATTTTTCTTCAGAATGCAATACTTTCTGAAAACCATTTAAGGAAAGTAATTACATATGTCATTCAATTAATTACTTTTGAGGATTTAGGAAATTTGTGAAACTATAAAGATTTACACATTCAGCCTTCCAATAAAAGACAGTAAGTAACACACCTTTCGACAAAGCCACTTTGATGCCTGATCTGGACTGTTTGGGAGTTTTTGCCTTCCCTTTAACAGACTTCCTAGGAGATGGTTCTTCATCCCAGTCTGAAAGAATCCAAGACCATAGTAAGTCACAAATTACTCACTTCCACAATCCTTACTGCGTTCTTCTTCATGGCCATACAGTATTCGCCGTAATAAGTACCCCATGGCACTAAGTAACTCCGAAAAGCAAGTTAAACATATTTTCAGAGATTAAGCGGTTCAAACTTTGACGAAACCATCACATTTTTTAAAACGGTTACCAGCAGGCAAATATGTACACCTGTTATACGCTTCTGTTTTCTGTAAATGAAATCTGTCACATAGACAAGAAAACATGGAATGTTCAGTCTTAGTTGGAGGCTCTTATAGAGATAACTGGGACTGCTCTTTTTAAGCCCTGGGCCTAATTACAGGTTTTGCCTATAAGTATTTTAATTGAGTAACATTTTATACAAATTTAAGCTCAGGGCTTAAAAAGGAAAAACAGCAAAGGCATGATAGGAAGACTGAATCTCCCAAGTTAAATGCAACAATGCTCACAAATGGAATGAGAGCGCAACACCTTAACATAAGAACAAGTTCAAAATCGAAATGCTGTCAAAAAAGTAACAACAAACCGACATCGCAGCTACGCCTGTCTGGCATATGCTACAACACTTCTTGAAGGACATCCAGTGAGGGAGATCAAGCAATATTTGAATTAAATTCAAGCCCATGGGCCTAAAAGTATTGTATTTTTGTTTTTAAGCCCATGGGCTAAATAACAAGGGGGCTTAAATACGTGTAGTCCCAGCCCTGGTACAGAATGGTCTAGAAACTGGTTGGGAAGCTGTTAGTGGAGCAGGGCGCTTAATACGGCAAGTCATAACAGAAGCAGTTATGTCATTAGGGAGCTCATTCAAACACAGAGAAAATGTTTTATTACAGAGCTACAGATAAGCTGCTTGTTTGTGTAAAATATCCCCCAAAACTATTCAAAACCCAATTTTCAATTAACTTGCATACAGAAACACATGCATTAAATGAAAAACTCAATTGTTTGAAAACAGCACGCGTAAATACCCAATGAAGCTTTTTCAACATGCGTACAACAGAGCTAATTTCTGAATCACAATTACGAGCTAATTTACTTTCCGAGTCAAGCCAAAATTTAAAACCGTTATCTACATCTAAAACATTATTTCATATTTTTTTTTAATCTCAAAATGTTAACTCATTTTGGGAAAAACCCAATAGAGTGATAAATAGATGAGTGAAAAAATACTACCCAATAAAAAATGTAATAACCCAATTAAAATAGTGAGTATGGTTTTACGCCACTTTTAGCAATATTCCAGCAATATCATGGCAGGGGGACACCACAAATAGGCTTCACACCCAATTACACTAGAAACCTTTGAGTAAAAACTCAATTGCTCAAAAAGTTATCTGGAGCTCTGTTTATTACTTAACTTTTGACAAAATAGAAACGGAGGCAATTCCACAAACATATGACTGGTAGTTATATGAGTTCAATTATACAAACAGTCCTCAGTTCATTTTGCACGATGGTTTCGTGAACACATGAATGAATTAAATTTTTTTTAAAACAGTCAATGTTCACTAATCTTGAGACTAGTGACTGTGTGAGAACAAAGATCAACTGACCTTCTTCCTCCTCCTCTTCCTCCTCTGAATCTTCTTCCTCTTTAATCTCTTCTTCTTCAGCAGGAACAATGTCTTCCTCCTCCTCAAAAGGCTCCCCACGTTCAGCCTTCACTGCTCTCTGGAGAATCTTCTCAGCCCTCTCTTGTTCCGAGTGGGGTAGACGCAAAGTGTCACGAGCAATACGCTCCATTCGGACATTGGTCAGCACGCACTCAATGTCAGTGTGGTCAATATAGTCCATCTTGTAGATGTTGGGCGGCTGGTCCAGATTGAGCCACTGGATGCGGAACTGGCGTGTAGTGCTGTGTACATTCTGCTGAGTCTTGCACAAGTACACAGAATCTGTAAGAGAAGTAGTTATCATAATCATAAATGTCAATTAGAAAACAGCGATATCATTATCCCCCACCATGGGGCACATTAGAATCATATGGCAGTGAATATAAACTATAAAAGAAAGAGTCCTATAAAGCCCTAAGAAGAGATAGGCACTAGGGTCGCTTTATGTCATCAGAACAATATGATTAAATGTGAAATCAATCCACACAAAAGGTCTCTTCTCTGAAAAAAATAAATGATGGCACCAATTCCCAAACTCAGTGTTGATAAGTATCTCTTAGATAAGAGAAAATCAGCCTTCACACAGCTCGATGTCGCAAGGGTAAAACTAGGCTGCGATACTGGCTAGTGGACATGCTTGCCTCGGGGAGATGGATCTTGACTAACCTGCATGTTGTGAAACAATATTAAAGAAATATGTGGGAATTTTGCAATCTCGATAGAACCCTGATCAGCTCTTTATAAGGATTTTCAGACAAACGATGGACAATGTGCCCTTTCCTGAGTTTATTTGGGCCATTGGTCCGTTGGATCAAAACAGGTGGGGGAGGTGACATGGGGTTTAATGTCGCGTTTGCGTAATGCACTTACATAACGATGTGTGTGTGTGTGTGTGTGAGTGTGAGTGTGAGTGTGTGTGTATGTGTGGCTGCTTCAACTGGTCCGGACTAATGTCCATTTAATAGTACTGTCACACTCAAATACTATGCTGCAGTTAATATGAATACCACACTCAGAAAACAGTATACGGACTCCGCGCCAACCAGTCCTTGTTTTAGCCCCTCAATGCCGAGCGCCAGCCAGGGTTACAACATGTATCATCCGTCAACGTCTTTTGGTATGACATGGCCAAGGGTCGAACCCACGACCTTCCGTTCTCTGGGCAGATGCCCCATCCACAAGACAATGGAGGCTTCGGGGAGCAAAACATCCGCATTGCTAAATTTATTAAAACCTGCAGTTTATCGGTATACAAAATAACCCATGCGAACTTACTCTCTGCACCGCGTACAGCCAAGAAGATGCCTTTCTTGTACAGGATGACGATTTCTTCCTTTGGAGGTTTTGGTTTTACTGCTCCCTCCTCCAAGACTGGGGACTGGAACCTAGCAACAGGGATACGCTGGCGCTTCAACGGGGTACGGGGCTCCACATTGTATATCTTCTTTCTCTGAAAAACAACATAAAATATTTCAATCGTAAAATACAAACTAAAATGGTGTTTACCTGTATAGCAATGCATAGTTCATACCCCATAGGCTCATCGAGTGGGGTGGGGTGAAGTTAGGAATTATTTGGGGTGTCACAGCTGTAATGGCAAAGTGAACATGAAAAAGAGTTGTACATGTGTCACAACCAAATTCCCTACCTCTGTAACATGACTAACATGCATCTGTTCAATGTCAAAATGGCCTGTGGAGATGCGGGGTAGAACAGGTCTTCCGCAACCCATGCTTGCCGGAAAAGGCGACTATGCATGTTGTGAGACGACTAATGGGATCGGTTGGTCAGGCTCACTGACTTGGTTGAAGCATGTCATTGATCCCAATTTCTTGGATCGATGCTCATGTTGTCAATCAATGGATTGTCTGGTCCAGACTCGATTACATACAGACCGCCATCATATAGCTGGAATATTGCTGAGTGCGGCATTAAACAACAAACAAACAAACAATGTGAAACACTGTATTCAAGAGAAAGATACAAGGACAGTAATAAGCTCACTTGCTTGGACCAGTTTTGTTAATCAAATGTATCCTATTAGCAGAATTTCAAACATTTTGAGGGGTATTGCTTCATGTTATCACTATTCTGGCTAGTCAACCTTCTTGGATAATTTGTTTGGTTTGTTTGTTGTTTAACACCGCACTCGGCAATATTCCAGCTATACGACGGCGGGCGGCCTGTAAAATAATGGAGTCTGGACCAGACAATCCAGTGATTGACATCATGACCATCGACCCATGCAATTGGGATCGATGGCATGTATCAACCAAGTCAGCGAGCCTGACCACCCAATCCCCTTAGTCGCCTTTTACGACAAGCATAGTCGCCTTTTATGGCAAGTATAGGTTGCTGAAGACCTGTTCTACACTGGAATCTTCACGGGTCTTCTTGGTTAGTGTTTATCCCTATAAGTAGGATACAACTTCTCACAATTACATCGAAGGTATCCTTGACCATTGACAAATGAAGATGATATTTGATGTGATAGGATTTAACAAACATGTTGAGTTTAGCATGCCTCAAAACTAACAAGGATATACCCATTGAAAACCATGTTTTGCGAAATCTGGATGCTGACCTTCACCTCTGACCTACCCTGACCAAAACCTTTCCAAAACAGGGCACCATCTTAGGGGAGGCTTATCAACCATAGTTAATGATCAACGCATTCATTCTTGAGAAATTAACCGTAAAATAGATTTGTGATTAGTTTCTGTATCATGACCTTGACCTGCTTCTTGACAAGGCTGTTAGTTATTTCACAGCGGTAGAAACTAACAGTTTCAGTCCACTAGTCCTTATAATGATAACATATAGCAAAACCCTTAAAAATGGCAAAAATGTGTGTATGTGTGTGTATATATATATATATTGAATAAAAAAGGTCAGGCATCATGAATGTTTGGGAATATGTGAATATGTTTCATGAAATTGTGTGCTCAGTCTTCACTTAAAAAAAATATCTTCCAAAATATTCATGATCCCTAACATTTTTCCATGTTTTATAGCTTCTTCTTTTATAAGCAGAGCTCCAGATAAGCTGCGTATCTGCGTAAAATACGCATCAGAAATGCAGAAATACGCAGTAAAATAAATTCCAAGCGTATCAAATATGCAACGAACATTACAGATACGCTACAAAACTAAAACTTGTGTGTATCATCAAAATATTGTGAAGTAACCCTGCGTATTCGATACGCAAACCAGCAACTTATTTTGAAATTATAAACGGGCATTCCGTCAACCTTGCCAAACTCCTCGATGACAGTTACATCATGATCATTTGCCATCACACTTTCTTGTGGAAGTATCAAGGTATCGTTCTATAAAGCTCTCGAACCCACACGGCACCAGTTTGCAGGGACTAGATGAATAGTGTGTTTAAATATTTAACTTAAATACCCACATGTGTAAAAAACTAGTGGCTAACAGAAATTTGAATACCCAGATAGAATTACTGATAGCCAATGATTTTAAAATGCATGGGTAAAATACCCACAACACCAAAAGCTTATCTGGAGCTCTGATAAGTATTTCCAACAAAACCCTGAACTCTGAGGGTGAACTTACCTTAACTCCATGCCCACTTCCTCCGCTGCTGGAAGCTTCCTCCTTTGTTTTACTCTTGTCGCCTTTCTCCATTGTGTTTGCCTACAACAAGAAGCATCGGACATGATTTAAGATTTTAGATTCCCGTGAAGATCCAGGTTAGAATAGGTCTTCAGCAACCTATGCTTGTCACAAGAGGTAACTAACGGGATCCGTGGGTCAGACTCGATGACTTGATTGATGCATGTCATCCTGTCCCAATTGCGCAGATCGATGCTCATGATATCAATCACTGGATTGTGTGGTCCAGACTGGATTATTTACAGACCTGACCTAATTGTGAAGCAGGTATGCAATATATTGGGGATGTAAATGTACCACTGTGCATAAAGCAATTTTTACACCAATATATTCCTGCGTTTAAAAGAATCCCAAATATCAAACTTATCAATTATGAGAAAAATGAGCGAGTGTTCAAATCTGGATAAATCCTCAGCTGAACCCAGACTGACGTCTTTGAATGTGATCAGATGACTAACTGATTTATTGATAAATCATTACATTCCCCACGTGCAAACCATGACCGACTCTTGGATTAAAAATTCAAGGAACTCATTAAATTCTGAGTGCAAGCAATATGACCATTGGGAAAACCATGCTGCTGCACTTCCAGCAAGCTTGTATAATATAATTTAAAACCGGCATAATACTTTAATATGTGATACCTTAAAAAAAGCTGTCTAAAATGAACCAACATCAAAATACATACTGCAGCCATTCATTGGCACCATATTCACAAGGTATCCTGCAATAATCATCTTGGTATTATTCGTAAAAATAAAATCAAAAACCTATCCACACATCTTTCTTTAAAGATTCGAACTGTCTGAATGTGATTTCAGAAATTAAATCTATTACGTAATACATAAAATGCACGTTCACTTGGCAGAACAGATTTTTTTTTCAAAATCATGAAATCTGCATGAAGGATCTTTGCATGCCTCTGTGCCCTATCCGCCTATGTCGGTGTTATCAAATACTAACTCATTACCGTATGCGTAATATCTCAGCAAAACAAAACAAAGAAATCTCAAAAATCAATGAAGTCAGATCGGAGAAGGTAATGTGGACGCATATCATTCGTAAGAATAAGGTTCCGACTTTTGCCTTCAAGTCGAAAAATTGCATCCCGTTTAATTTCAACGTATTACGCAGATACGTTGTTTGTAAACAATAAAATAAATACAATCGCACCTCAAGATAAAGCGCGCTAGGTATGCCTATCTATGATGACAACACTCGCCGAATGCCGAGACACCACAACGATACCAATTCACAGGAAATTGGGGTCCATTCAGGCAACCCATTGGACTACAACCAGAGCGCAAAACGCGCCAATCACTGTATCACATGGCTAAAAATTGCAACAAAATCACAATCTAACATTACATATATCATACGCACCGTATACACCGTTCACATCAACAGCTTAAAACAACGCTGAATGATTTAAATTCGATGCGTTTTAGCAGAATAAGCGATATATATTTTCAAGTGTAAGCCGGCATTACGAACACATGGTCGCCATCTTTCTGGCTCTTCTATTCAGTTTACTTCCTCCCCTTTTCTTTTGCAACACAAAAACCGTTTGGTGATATATTTCGATCTGTCATGCAAAGTCATTCCTAAACCTTACACTAAGGTATAATACAAAAATGAATACTAATATAGGATATAATCCACACTTTCCTTTACCTGTTTTAGATAGTTACACTGAAGTTCTTCGTACGGGTAATCCGCTAGACATAACAGCGAAAAACACGTGGTCACATGATCAAGTGCTCGCAAGCTGTAACTCTCAGCATTGCGTTGTTGGTCGCTGTGCAATAAGAAGACTAGAAGTAAAGTAGGCTTCGCTAGCCCACGCGTCGTAAAGAGGACCCTTCTATTGTGACCTCAATGTCTCGAAAACATATTTCAAGAACAAGCATTCTCTCGGCATATCTAATTACAAGAAATTTACACAGATCTAAATTTTAAATGAAAATCTTTGTAAACCTTCATTCATTTCCCGGACATGTCAAGGATGATTATCAAAATAGATCAGGTCTTTATTTGTACCCCATCAGCAACCTTGTTAAGCAATTACATATCTAGTTTGATTATAAATTTAAGTTGACGGGATAAGTTATGCATATGGCATGACACTTTTGTTGCAATAAAACAAGGTGAATTTTCCGTTTGACTTTTAAGAGGAATCCCAATAGAAACACGTCATCAAAGCTGTTACTTGCCATGAAGCGAAAATAGGATTAATGACATAATTAACTGGGAGCTCGTTGTGCAATATCTTCTTATAGAAACGTCAAACGATCTCAACCGCCCCGAATACCTATACAATCACATAGGGTTCCGAACCTTAAATATTGATACATCCAGAAGAAGACTGTTTGTTTGTTGTTTAACGCCGCATTCAGCAATATTCAAGCTATATGACGGCGGTCTGTAAATAATCGAGTGTGGACCAGACAATCCAGTGATTGATATCATGAGCATCGATCCACGCAATTGGGATACGATCACATGCATCAACCAAGTCAGGGAGCTTGACCACCCGATCCCGTTAGTCGCCTCTTACGACAAGCATAGTCGCCTCTTACGACAAGCATAGTCGCCTCTTACGACAAGCATAGTCGCCTCTTGCGACAAGCATAGTCGCCTCTTACGACAAGCATAGTCACAGGAGAAGACTGGCAGGATACGGGTTATCCCGTAGAGGGTAGTACCACGGGTGGTGTTTTGTACCTCTGCATGTAGATTGCAGTGGGCACAGGGACGACGTTTGGGTGTGATCCTTTTAATTCTTTCAATGTGGCGTTTCGGTACAGATCCTAGTACCTCAGTCCTCTTTCGTATCACATGACTGTATCACTTAAATTGTCTGATACATGTCTGATACAAGTATCACTTGCAATTGTTTGAGGAATTAAGGTGAGGTGAAATGGGGTTTAACGTTGCGTTTAAGATTATTGCACTTATATAGCGACGTGCATGCACGTGTATGTGTGTGTGTGTGTGGCTGCTCCGGACTGATGCCGATTTTATACTGCTCACCCACTGAGATACCATGACGCAGTTGAACATGAATGAGTGAGTGAGTGAGTATGGTTTTACGCCGCTTTTAGCAATATTCCAGCAATATCACGGCGGGGGACACCAGAAATGGGCTTCACACATTGTACCCATGTCGGGAATCTGAGCATGAATGCCCTAATCAGACACAATATGTTGACTCCGGGCCGACCAGTCCTTTTTAATCCCATTATTGCCGAGCGCCAAGCAGTTGAAATGGCAACAAGTACCATTTTTTAACGTCTTTTGGTATGACACGGCCGGAGATCGACCCCCGTTCTCCGGGCGTGCGCTCTACCACTAGATCACGGAGGCGGTTTTCATGATTTCTTTGTTTGTTGTTTAACGCTACACTCAGCGATATTCCAGCTATATGACAGCTGTCTGTAAATTATCGAGTCTGGACCAGACAATCCAGTGATTGACATCAAGAGCATCGATCTGCGCAATTGGGATACGATGACATGCATAAACCAAGTCAGCGAGCCTAACCACCCGATCTTAATAGTCGCCTTTTACGGCAAGCATGGGTTGCTGAAGACCAAGTCTAACCCGGATCTTCACAGGTCGCGGTTTTGATTAATTAAGGTACTAGTATAATGTTTGATGAAGATATTAGCATGAGTAGCGAAATAGTGAATAGAAGACCCATAAGTCTCCCTGTATTTCATTGATGCTACAACAGATAACACAAAGAGATGTTTACTAATTCGTTGCCAGGCGTGCATTGCTGCAGCTATACATAGCTTCTGTTTTAGAGACTGCAGCATGGAACTATTGTGGTACAAGAAAGTATTCTAAAAAATTTATTACCCACAGTGGTAGAAATAACCGACTTCATAAAACTCGTATGTGTGCTATTGCAAATATCAGTTCACGTGCACCTGCGTATTGTTTATACGTCATCAGGACGGCCTTGTTGTTCTTACTCGAATCTTATTGTGACGTAAGGTCGGCATGACGTCACACTAGAAATGACGTCATAGCCGCAGATTGTTGACGTCATTCGGTAATTGTGGTTTTCTAAGACAGCGGTCGTTATCAGTGCATTTATCTAAAGGGGAGCTGATGGGATTTAAGAAATATGGGATAAAAAAGACATTTTCCCACTCGCATGTATGTCATATTGTCTTTATGAAACACGTGTAAGTATTCACGTTAACCTCGCTCTCGCTCTGGAAATACAGGAATTCTGACACCCGTTTACAAAAAAACCAAGATGACACACTTGCTCTATAAGGCGATTTTACATGCTTTACCATCTTCCTGAGGCAAGGGAGTTAACTGACTATAAATTAAGGTCCAGATTCCACGTGGAAACTGAAAGGCGACTGTAGAGGCGACTAACAGGATCGGGTGGTCAGGCTCGCTGACTTGGTTGATGCATGTGATCGATCCCAATTGCGTGGATCGATGTTCATGATGTGAATCACTGAATTGTCTGGTCTAGACTCGAATATTTACAGACCGCCGCCATATAGCTGGAATATTGCTGAGTGCGGCGTTAAACAACAAACAAACAAAAACAAACGTGGAAACTGGACTTTTGTAGTCAGTTAATTCCCTTGCCTCTGGAAGATGGGGCTTTACTTAAGCTCAACACAGACTAATTCCCGAAAGTATAAATTTAATGGTAAGGCACACACGGACTAGTTACTAGTATTTGCATTTCGGAAACTCTTATTATTTGTTTTCCAACATTTTTCTTCTTTGATAAAGTTAAACGAGGAACAAGATTCTACATTTCACTATTCCTAGTAAACTTTCCATACGAATGTTATATGCTCTATGTAAACAATAACAATCAACAGAAGGATGAACGCAATTTAATGTACAAATAATACGATCTAATCAGTGATAATCCTTGAGCTGGTGATTTTAGCGTCCTTGCCGTACTATAGAACTGTTAATTTTCACAACGTACGAAACCAGTTGTTTGGTTGCAACGTACGAAACCAGTTCAGTTTGGTTGCAACGCACGAAACCAGTTCAGTTTGGTTGCAACGTACGAAACCAGTTCAGTTTGGTTGCAACGTACGAAACCAGTTCAGATTGGTTGCAACGTAATCCCTGTCGCATAATACGCCGCAAGTGTGGTGTTTAACTTAGAGTATATGTACTCCTGACTAGCGCCACTAGTTTTGCCACCCTGGGGTACATTTGTGAACACAGAGGGGCACCCGGGGCACATTTGTGTACAAAGGTACCTGTTGTACATTTCTCACGTACCTGTCGACTACGAACCCAACAACTCAACTAGTGACCAATGATATAAAGGGAGACTAGAGTCGGACTAATTGCAATCGTGGCAGGTTTGATTCAAGACAGAAATAGCTTATCTAAAACTTGCCAAGAGAAACTATGAAAATATTGCCATTTCATAAATTGATTGTTGTATAACGCCGCACTAAGCAATATTCCAGAATATGACGGCGGTCTGTGAATAAACAATTGGCTACCCCACCCGCCCACGACTTAAATAGAGTGGGTGAGTGAGTATGGTTTTACGCCGCTTTTAGCAATATTCCAGCAATATCACGACGGCGGACACCAGAAATGGGCTTCACACATTGTACCCATGTCGGGAATCGAACCCGGGTCTTCGGCGTGACGAGCGAACGCTTTAACCACCAGGCTACCCGACCTCCCCCGACTTAAATAGAGTGAGTGAGTGAGTATGGTTTTACGCCGCTTTTAACAATATTCCAGCAATATCACGACGGAGGACACCAGAAATGGGCTTCACACATTGTACCCATGTCGGGAATCGAAACCGGGTCTTCGGCGTGACGAGCGAACGCTTTAACCACTAGGCTATCCGACCGCCCCTAAATACTGGACAAGGTTATTTGAATGTTACGTTGTATGTTCACACCAGCTCAGCAAAAGTGATCTGCTAAAGAGTTGCCGTTTATATTTAATGGTGAAAATGGTAGTCCACATGAAAATATCTCACGCCCTTTCTGAATATTATTGTCTTCTCAGACTTTAGCCGACTTATGTTTTCGTTTGTTTGTCTGCTTGTTGGTTTGATTGTTGTCTGGTGAAGACGTTAAAAACTATTCGTTTGTACTTTCTTTGTTTGTTGTTTAACGCCGCACTCATCGATATGACAGCTGTCTGTAAATAATCGAGTCTGGACCAGACAATCCAGTGATTGACATCATGAGCATCGATCTTCGCAATTGGGACATAATGACTTGCATCAACCAAGTCAGCGAGTCTGACCACCCGATCCCGTTAGTCGCCTCTTACGACAAGCATAGTCGCCTTTTAGCACAAGCATGGGTTGCTGAAGACCTATTCTACCCCGGATCTTCACGGGTCTGCATGATCCTGTGGTGTATTCCCACGGAGTGTATATATAGCACTGTTTATTTTCACAATGCAGGAATTGGTTCAGTTTGGTTGCCATGGAAACTGATGTATTTTAATGACAGGAATTACGATAACCGGAGGAAGCGGTACGGAGGA